TGAGCAAATAAGTTTGACTTAAATGACCTGCCCAAGGTTGATACTTTTGCCAAAGAACTAAATAAGATGTTTGAGAAACTGATATGTGATTTTTTGATCCTTAAACTAAAGTTTGAACATGGTTTTTTTTTTTTTAATTCAAATTATCTGTTGTAAATTTGATGCCAATCTTTATCTTTTTATTGCTCAGTTTATAATTTCTTATTTTAGCCATAGTGATTATTTTAGGATCTGTGGAATCATGGTGTGACATATATTAAAAGTCATTTTAGCGTAGGGATACAATTATCTAAGCCAATAATGAATCATTTGTAATTTAAAAATGAAGTTTTTGGTGGTTCCATTGATGTCAATAGGTCTGTGTCCAAAAATAGATTTCAATATGTCAACAGGGTGAAAGTCTACACAAGCTATGTTGAGTGAACTGAGATGTGTTTAATGAAATTCATTTTTGCAGGTTGGTTCATTAAAGCCTGAAAAGTCAATCCCTGATGTCATTCTGAGGCAAGCAAAAGGCCTTGCAATTATCACTGTGGCGAAAGTAGGAGTTGTGGTAACCTACAATGTTGGTACAGGACTTGTTGTTGCACGTAGGGAAGATGGTTCATGGTCTCCGCCATCTGCCATTTCCACACTTGGTGTTGGATGGGGAGCTCAAGTGAGATAATTAAATCTTTAATAATGTTCAGTATTTGAGCTAGCAGCCTTAATCACAAAAATACGATCACCTGAAAATTCAAGAATCAGTAACTTGTGGAAATGAGACGTTGTTCAAATAAAACTTCAACAGACTTCATTTTGTTTTGGTTTTCTTGCAAGATGGTTTTCAGCGGAAAAAATGAATAGCATCTTTTGGAATATTAAGCAATAGACAAAACTCTAGCCTCTTTTTCTGGTCACAATTTTCAAACCTTGACCTTGCCAAAGCATTGATTCTGACTTCCCATTCTACATGTAGGCTGCAAGTCTTGTAGTAATGCCCGTTTGTTAATTTCTTTATGTCTTCTGGGTTGTTGAAACTTACTTTCTGCCCCCATTATAGGCCGGAGGAGAGGTAACGGACTTCATAATTGTTCTGAGAACAAATGACGCTATCAAGACGTTTTGTGGTAATGTGCATATTTCACTCGGAGCCGGAGCAAGTGCTGCAGTTGGAACTGTTGGAAGGGCAGTTGAAGCTGATATTCGTGCGGGGGATGGTGGTCAGGCTGCTTGTTACACGTACAGCTGCAGTAAAGGTATGTATTTTTTGTGATTTTATCATGAGTTACTTTGCATCTTTGTCTAGCAATGAAAAATCCAATTTATGTGCGAGTATGACTAGTGAATGACTGATTTTTTTTTCTCCTGAGCTACCAAGGGATGCGTATTTGAACCGGATGAGGGTAAATCATATACAATTTGAGTTCATACATATATTTGTAATGAAAGATGAGATCATTGTCTCCCCCCCCCCCCCCCCCCCAAAAAAAAAAAAGAAAAGGAACAAAAGAAACCTGAGCTTTGACTTCTATCTGCCTATCTTTTGTTTCATTCTCATGAGAATGAATGAAGGTTTTCTTGAGGGTTAGAGAGAGAGAGAGAGAGAGAGTGTGTGTGTGTGTGTGTTTTCTTTTCCCTGCTAGATCATACTTATATCTGCTTTCCATCTCGTGAAATCTTTGTCTGCAAACGTGATGATACTCACTTCATATCAGGATTGGACCTTATTTGCCAATCTGTCTGAATTGAAACAGTCTTGAACAAAACTCAATAGAACATAAGGCTGACACTAGTTAGTTATGTACATCGAACTGTTAACAATACCGAGGAAGATGTTAAACTGTGAAAGTGTTGACCTGTTTCTTTATTTCTTTTTGTGGGATGACGTTGTAGTTGGATTAACCACTAGTATATTGGATATTAATTTCAGGTGCATTTGTTGGATGTTCACTGGAAGGTAGTATTGTGACCACACGATGGCGAGAAAATTCCCGTTTCTATGGCAGCCAGTCTTTGACAGCAACGGACTTGCTTCTTGGCTCCTTACCAAGGCCACCGGCTGCCGCCATTCTTTACCGTGCTCTTGAAGGTATCTATTGGAAGCTTGGTGGTTGATTCAATCATTCAACAGCGCATTGCAAGCCTTGAAAAACGTACAGTTGCATTTAAAACTCAAACTGTAAAGTTAATTCTTACATGCTATTCTTTGTCATTGTAAATCTGCCGAATCTGTGGATTCGGGGATATACCCGATTCATCGGAAATATTTGGGGTCTGTTTATGTACATAATAAATTTAACCGCGTACTATGGGTTGCTTCCTCGTACACTGTAATATAACGTACATGACATATCTGCTGCTGCTTACAACGGGGTGTGTTGTGTTTGTGTTTTTATGCGTTTTCGATGAGCCGAAGCAAATTCTATTTTCTGCTAAATATATTAATGATAGCACCGTAGTAAGTTTATTTTTTTTTAAAAAAAAAAGGATGCAAGGTTGTATGTAGAAGAATATTTACACACAAAGCTTAGGAGAAAATCAAACCTTTTCTTTGGAAGGCCGCTTGGAATCATCTTCAAATCAAATACGCCTTACATGCAAAACGGGCATCCGTTAAGAGGACTTGTCCTTCTCGTTGCATTTCCATAGGCTGTTCCTTCCGTATCCTTCATGGTTGCGCATTTGCAGATGGAAGCCAGTAATAGTTACGCTGATTGGCTCGCTTACCAGCCTTCATAAGAAAATGCAACCATTATAATCTTACATGATTTGGGTGTAGTGTGTAAAGATCTTCTAAGATCTTTATATAACTTCTTACTCCGTTCCTTATTATAAGAGACAAATAACCAAATTACGTTGATCAAAAAAGCAGTTAAAATTAGTTAAGAACAATCAATGTGTAAAAAGTATAATTTTTCCCCAAAATACCCTCATTAATAAGGAGAGAGAGTATGAGAGAGAACAATTAAATTATTAAAAGAAAGAGAAGTGGGAGGGAGAGAGAGTGTAAATTGGAGATAAAATAAATATGGGTAAATAGAAACCAACACAAAAAAGTAGAGACAACTTTTAAGTGTCTCTTATATAGGAACATGCCATGAGCATCAAATGTCTCTATATAAGGAACGGAGGGAGTATTTTGCATGATTTTTCTGTGACCTTGTATTTAATAAAAAAATGGAAAGAATCAAAACCACAATGTCACAAAGTAGGAAGCAAAGAATGCCAAGTTAACTTGGTTAACAGCATCAAACAATGCTGGCTTGCACGAGCGTACATCCTTTAAATAAATGAACTTGGTGTAAAAGGGTTTGTTTACAATTTATTTTCAATATTCCTGATTAATTTTTTCACAATGATCCTTTTGATCTTTGCAAGAGTTTTTATATGAATAAATACTACTCCTCTGGTCTTATTTATAAGTTACTTCTAATATGTTTCACACAGATTAAAGAAAACATTAAGCTTCATTAATTCTCATTGAAAATTTAACAACTTTCCAACTTTATCCCTATTTAATATACATTATACCCCATATAAACAAAGTCAATATAATAATAAATTAGGGGTAAAATTGTACATTTACACAAAAATTTTCTCTTAGTGTCCTATAAATTAGAACCAAAAAAGATTTTCTCTCTCTACTTTATAAATAGGACCAAAAGAGTACCACTAGGGGCCTATTTGGCCTATTTGGGTGCTCCCAAAATCATGATTTGGGAAGTAAAACCATGTTTTGGATGGGATGTCACCTAAACAGCATCATTTTTAGAAAAATAATCTGAAACTATGGTTTGGGCTAAAACCATAGTTTTGGTGCCCAAAACCATGATTTCGGGAGAAGTGAATCTATTCTGTTTTTGGCTCAAATTAGAGAGTATGATTGTGTCTATCAGAGTAGATCTCAACAATAATATGTTTTAACATCCCTCAATTATCTTTTTTATAAACATATTTAATCTTATATCTTATAAATATATACACATATTAATTATTTATTAATTATATTATCTTATGTATTATTAATTATTTTGGTAAAAAATATTATTAATAATTTTATTCCTTCAAATTAAAATATATTATAAAATCTATCTTTTATGTAATTATCATATTAATTTATGCCTTTTTTAGTAATTTGTATATATAAAAAGTGTTTCTGATAACAATTATCCAAACACTTTCACTTCTCAGAATTATTTTTTTACAAAATCTATTATTCACAAAATCTGTTCTCCCCAAAATCTATTCTCCAGAAGCTATTCTCTAAACCATCGTTTGGTTTTATCCAAACACTTCCTAGATAATAAATTCCTAATTAATGAGGTGTTTGGATAGAAACCAAACCATGGTTTTAAAAGTGTTTTTACAATTTACGAGGTAAATATATGGATGAATTTGTCTCGTTTTCTGCAAAACGAGATAAATTCATCCATATATTTACCTCGTATATTGTAAAAACACTTTTAAAATTATGATTTGGTTTTCAAACAACTCCGCAAGAGTCACTGTGGACATTGATTCTCTACTGATTGTTGGTCGGACTGGCTAGCCAACTTCGCAATTACTTATATCTTAATTTTCTGCTTCTGTTAGCTTGTTTTTCTTTTGATCTCTGATCCTCTTTGTCACCAGGAAAAGAAAATATGATAAATAAAAATTACACAATTAATAATAGTTGCTATGATTTCAGCAAGAGGATCCTCCTTCACAAAGGTCCAAACTTTTGCTCTTCCTTCTTCACACAGAACCCTGTAAGAACCAAGAAATCTCAAGCTTTGGGAGACCATTCCCTCACACACAGAGAGACTCACAGAGAGAGAGAGAGAGATATATATATATATATATATATTAATATAAGGGGATGTGAAAGGAGAACGAACTATGAAGAGGAAGATAATCAGAGCATCCGTCGCGTTGACATTTGAGAAGCGGTGAGTTGGAAGGCCACGAGTATTTGAAAGTGGATGGTCACGATTAACGCTAGAAATTAACGGTCCAGATTACTTGATGAAGCTTACCGTTTCAATGGAGATAGAGAGGCGCCGCGGAGGAAAGTGCTCTACGAGAGAAACCGAACGCTCGTTGAATGTTCCTTACTTCCTTAGCTCTACGAAAGAAGGGCTATTAGCCACCGTCGCTGTAATTTTTAAACGTGGTTACGAGTTGCAATTGCAGTGGATCAGCTATTCCGTGTTTTAATTAAGGTATGGCTCCTCTCGCTCTCTTTATTATTATTTTTATCTGTTCTGTATTTGGTGTTTTTTTATGCGGTGGCCTCTCGCTAATGATTCTGAACCTCGATTGATGGTTGGAACATGATGGGACTTTGGATTTGTTGTGATCTAATCCTTCTGGTTAGAGTGATGGATACTTTTCCATCCCTCTATTGGGAGGACCGCAAATCTTTGGGGACCTGCTCATAAATTGTTAATCTTTTCTTTCCCTTCTGCTCTTTGGAGTCAAAATTTCGGATTTGGTTCTTTCTTCTTGCTTATCGGATATAAATCTAACGTAGACCTTTTCTCAATTTGGTTCAAGGGTGTCAGGGAGGCCTCTCAAGTTTCTGTTTCTTCGAATCGAAGTGCTCAGGTCTCAAGACCATTGGATATGGTAACTAGACGCAATGTTCGTTACTCTCCTCTCGCCACGGATGAGGATAACTTTATTGAGACTAGCTTGGATAGACCGTTTGATCCTCGTTTTGATTTTAGCCCAAAAGCATTGGATAAAGTTCCCTGGAAATCCATTGCTCTTGCACTCTTCTTGTTGTTCCTTGGGACAACGCTTTTGGTTATTTCTTTCTTTGTCTTCACCGGTCACATGGGTGGAGAGCGGTCTCAAGCTTATGGCCTTTTAGTCCTAGGGATTCTCAGCTTTCTTCCAGGTATGTTGGATTTGAAGGATTTTTTGTGCCCAAGATAAACTCTTTCTGATTTCATACCAGACCATAGAAGTTACTGGTTTTTGTAAACTGAAACAACACATATCCTTGTGGACGTTCTTATTCATATTTATGCAACAAGTACCAAAAATGTAATTAGACTCGTGCTTCTTTTTCGTTATTGTGGAAAGCTCAAACAAGCAAACCGCATAATTTTTGTCACTGTTGCAACTTCAAATGAATTCAGTGAAAATGTACTTGGCGATTAGTGGAGAACCTATTGAAGTATCTAGTGATTCTCGAAATGAAATTAAAGGGGACTGGGAACTGGGAAAGAACCAAAGCGCATTTGTTAACGTGCATGTGTGGTTGATAATGGCCCTGCTTGATCATTAGATCCTCCCAGATAGATCAGGTAGACACTATAAAATTTCTTTGCCCAACTAGGGAATAGAAGGTTCTCCAACTTGAAGGCTTAAGCCTCAAAGGCTTGAAACTGAAAACATAGGTCACTGTGCAGTTGGAGGAAGAATAATGAGAGGAGCTTGCTAAATGGATAGAATTCAAGATAACTGTTAAAAAATTTTATAGTGAATTGAGCCCTGCAGCATTTGTATTGCCTTGACTTGAGCTTCGTAGAACATCAGTTCAGATGTATGGCTCGCTTGTTCTGTATAGAATCATCAGATATGATATATTAGTATCCCAACCGGTACCCCTACATTACTCTTCCTTTCTCATGATGGTTTCTTTTTACATGAAGAGAAATTTCTCTAGTCATTATTGCTTAGATTCAGGGGGTCTTTGTGCAGAAACCAAACCATTATTTTAAAAGTAATTTTATAATATAAAAAGTAAGCGTGTGAGAAGAGTTTTGTCTCTACTTGTGTAAAAGTGCGTTTAGAAAGTGCTTTTGGGGCAATCCAAACCCACCCTCATACCCTAATTACTCCTCCGTTACAGTTAGATTATGGAATTTGTGGGTTTTTTTCCCCTCTTCCCCCCCTGGGGGGGGGGGGAATAGCCGAATAGGGTGTGGTTTTCATTGCTACAGTGCCTCGTGGTTTAGTCTGGCATGTGTATATGGAATGATTTTTCACGTTGGTGACATGTTTTTTTCGCATTTTACATAAGTATTTTCTTCTGCTTTAATGCTCTCTTCCTCAACCGTAATTGGGTCCCATCTCCAACAATAATCTGGCTTTTGCTCGCCTGGCATGATTAATTGTACCATTAGAAAAACATTCATGCTTGCTTTGTCTCTGGAATTTTGCACGGGTTGACTTTTATAAATGAATGCTAAAAACCTTTTCAAAGTTGGCTTGCGAAGGCCATTTCAGTTGCTTGGTAGGTCGGCATCATATTTTTTTCAGTCGTGCATTCCTATGGGAACTGAAGGATTGCATTGCATATTATGGTAGTCTTTTTTAATGTCCCGTGTTCTCTAGTCCATAAATCAATTGCGATATTGCAGAATATATGGTTGCTTCTGCCATGCGACTATGTAGCTATCTGTTTTATCCGTCTCAATCTCTCTGTGGCTGAACTCTTAACATGCATGTGTCTTTTGGGATGCAGGCTTTTACGAGACTCGAACCGCATATTATGCATGGAGGGGTGCCAAAGGATACAGTTTTTCTGCCATCCCTGCTTATTAGGGCTGTACAATACAACTCTCTTTCTTTTGATGCCTGTTTGCTAGTCTTGTCTTAAATTATGGATGGAAAAACACCTTATAGAAATGCAGTCTTCTTTCTCATGTGGTTCAGTAATGCAGCATCCAGCTGTAAAATCCTATGCATAGCTTTCCAATTCCACTGGATTGGTCATAATTCCGCTTATCAAAATAAAACTGGGGGCATGAGGAATCCGCAGAAATGTAAAATTCATATAACTGCTTTCTTAGACCGAAGGTGGTTTTTAACTGCTTCCCTCTGTATTACGCGAGAAAAGTCTTAAACCATATCGGGATGTTGATCTGTTTAATATGTTGACCAAGAAAAAATGTGTTTAATATGGGATTAACTTTTCCTCGCGACCAGTGCAGGAGCCGTGTCCATTGAATTCAGCAGCAGCCAGCCACCACAGCTCAAACGTCATTTCCGCTCAAATGCAGACAAAATAATAATCATCATGACAAATTAATAATTTAGTATAAGATCATGATGATTCCAGGGAAGAAGGATTAGATTTTTTATTGTATGTCTTGTTCTCTCCAGATTGGCAGATAATATCACTTATTCAAGCTGGGTGTCACTAATTCCTGTTGAAATTTTTTAACACGCTTCTTTTCAGATAATATTATCTTCTTGGTTATCTTTTAGGGGCACTATTTTTCCATTCATGATGCAAAAATATCTTATTTTCTAAGAATAAAACAAAACTGTAGATTCTCCAAAAAATAACTGATGATTGGAAAAATAGTTCCAAACCAATTATTGTTTATAATGATCAATATTATTCTCTTTCAATGTCATCTTTCTGGGCCCAAAAGGAATCTCTTGACGAAAATATTGTACTTCATGAAAAATTCAAAGGCGACAAACGGTAGTGCGATGCTTCATGAACAAGACGCCAGAGCCAGAGCATATTGGGAGAATTCGCCACAAGCTAAAAACCAAAAATAAAAAGATGTTAAAAGCTTGAATTCCAAAAAAAAAAAAAAGAACACAATTTTTAGTTGCAATTGAAATTTTTTTAAATACTCATCTTTTATATTTTCGGCACCCATTTTTCACATTTTCAATATTCATATTTAATATATTTAATAATTGTTTTTTTTCAATTTTTTTCGGTTACCAATCTTAAATGTTTTTTATCTTTTTAATATTTCTCTTATATGGCAAGAATTTCTGAGTCGTTGCTTCACATAAACAGGTGATTATCAGTTCAAATGCAAACCCAAACCGCCCCTTTTTTTCCTATGAAACTGCCCTTTTTATGCACTTCAATTTTGAAAAAACAAAATAGTTCACCCATTGCTACAGTCATAATGTTTGACTCTGACATGTCCAGGTTCAAGGAGTCAAAAGGCACTAGAATTTTGTTGCCTTTTTTTTATTCTGTTATTACTTGCAAGCTAACCCAGAGAATTCCGGACGCGCTTCATCCATAGGGGATCCCAAAATTCAGAAGCGAAACAAAAGAACCTCCTTTTCGCTGCGGCTTCCAATCTCCGTGACTCCGTCTTTTCCGAGGTGCTAACCTGGAGCAGCGCATATTCTTAATTTTATATTTATTTTCAGTTGGATTTTATCCTTCAATTATTGTTCCTTTGGCCGCAAGCTTGTTTCTATTTCAAACAAGAAAATCAACTTCCTTTTCGAAGAATCAACCCTTGGTGCTGTTGGAAACTTGCTCAGAATTGATTGAGCTGCATGCAAGAAGTATGGAAAGAAAGTGAACTTATTTAAGTATGTATAGGTGGCACGAGTGCAGACGCCTTTTCTGGCGGGTTACGCTTTCGGCGGAAATAGAGACTGTGTGAAAAAGACTCGCTTTGAGGCGTGATTCTTTGTTCAGCTTGAGGTAACTTTTGATTAGTAAGAGGGACTTGTTAGATTAAATTGCAAAATTCAGGAAGGAATATGTGAGAATAATCTCTTATGGGAGCGAGTGCATAGAGTTTCGCAGTTATTCATCATTTATAATTGAGCAGAAGTTGAACTTTGTAAAATCCAGTTTGGCTTATGCTCTCAAGGGTGCAAAATTACTTATAGCTTCCATTGTATTTCTGGGATGGTCCCGTTTGTAAGAAGGGATTGAGCATTCTCTTTTTTGGAAAATTTGGAAACTTGAATTGATCGTAATCCGACTTTCGGATTTTTGAGCCTGCGAGCCTGAGGTGGGATTTTAATTACTAGTGATGGATGAAGCTCAGGGCAGTTCGAGCACCCTGCCTCCTTTCCTGACCAAGACTTATGAGATGGTGGACGATCCTTCCACAGATTCGATTGTTTCGTGGAGTGCCACTAACAAAAGTTTCATAGTATGGAATCCGCCAGAATTTGCAAGTGAGTTGCTACCAAGATTCTTTAAGCACAATAACTTCTCTAGTTTCATCAGACAGCTGAACACATATGTAAGCAAATTTAATCTTGATATTGGTGATGCCAGTATGTGTTTTGCTTTTATTTTGCCCTTCTGCTTTCGTTGCTTAAACTAAGTAATGAACCGATTATCTCTATTTGAACAGGGTTTTAGAAAAGTTGATCCAGAACAATGGGAATTTGCAAATGATGATTTCATAAGAGGTCAACAGCATCTTTTGAAGAATATACACAGACGAAAGCCAGTTCATAGCCATTCTTTACAGAATATCCAAGGACAAGGAGCTTCTCCATTGACAGAACCAGAAAGACAGAGTTTAAGAGGCAAAATAGAGAGGCTGAAACATGAAAACGAACAACTTTGTCTAGAGTTAGAGAGACATGAACAGGAGTGGCGAGTAAATGAAATTAAAATAGGATGCTCAAAGGAGAGATTGGAAAAGTTGGAAAGGAAAAAACAAAAGATGGTCTCTTCTGTTTCTCAAGCGTTGCAGAAACCTGAAATTGCCTCAAATCTCTTGCAATTGTCAGAAACCCTATATAGAAAACGAAGGTTGCCAAAAAGTGGTCACTTTTGTGATGAAGGTGTAATTGAAGATGCTATAGAGTCTTCCTCAGTGATACCTAGAGATAATGCAGATATAGCTTCTGTTTTGTCATCAAATGTGGAGCGACTGGAACAGCTGGAATCATTGCTGTTATTTTGGGAGAACATTGCTCATGATTTTGGGGATTCCTTTGTTCATAGCCACTCAAATATGGATCTTGATGAATCTACAAGTTGTGTTGATAGTCCTGCTCTCTCTTGTATGCAACTTGATAACGAACTTCACCCTATATCATCTGGAATTGACATGAACTGTGAACCAGCTGGAGCTACTGTTTCTGATCCTAGTTCATCAAAAGAAAAACCTGTGGGAACAACCACTGTAGCTGCTGGCGTCAATGATGTATTCTGGGAACAGTTCTTGACGGAGAATCCTGGTTCTTCAGAAAGACAGGAAGTACAGTCAGAGCGAAAGGATCCTGATAGCAGAAAGAATGAAGGAAAACCTAGTGACAGAAGTAAACTTTGGTGGAACAATGTAAATAGACTTTCAGAACAGATGGGGCATCTTAGCCAAACAGAAAAAACTTAACAGTGGATCTTTATTCCATCCAGCATGTGATGCCCTGCATATCACTTGTAATAATTTAGGTATAAACTGTTTTCTCAGCAATAATTTCTAACTCCCCATCTTAAGTTGGATGTTGTGTCCTCCAATGTTTGAGTGATTTATAGTATGAGTAGTCTATTTTTTGTTCTAATTTGCCTAAGCCTGTGCTGAACTGGGATATTGGTATGTGCATTTGCATTTTGAATTTTCTCTATGGTGTCCTTGTGTTGCATAACCATATGGTGAATACGTCTAGCAGATAACCTTCAGTGCCACCCCCAGGTGATAATGATACTTTGTAGTTGTCAAGGGTCATCGATGGAATTTCCTCGTTTGATATAGAACGACAGATGACCCATCTAGGGAAGGGACCTGATATTGTATTTTGAGTCGTGACAAGGCCTGTATGGAGCTATGGCTGGATTTTCCTATAAATGTTAGTAGGAGGAAATGTGTAAATAACCTTTTTTTGGGCTTAATTGAACGTGGTATATGAGTGAATTTTGAAAAGACTTTAACGGGTGAGAAAAATAATCTATGATGTATATCTTATTACTTTTGAAGGGGGAAATTTAGTGAACTCCCCTTATTTGGGATTGAGGTTCAGAAGCTGTAGTTTTCGTTAGTTGCTTTTTCTTTTCAACACCATCACTCCTTCAGTATTCAGAGACCATACATGAGCATGCTGGTTTGCGGAAAGAGTGAGAAAGACTGTTGAATTCATGTTTCTGAGACTGTGTCTCAATTGGATAACAAGGGATCGCTGGTTATGGGATTTTTCATTTAGAAGATAAAGAAAACACTGCATGCTTTATAGCATTCGAGATGTACAGGGGGGAGTAGAGTGAACATTGGATGCATACAGTGAAATCCAAAATGATGTAGTAATGCTTTGGCCATTTCCTGCATTAGCTTGCAGATGAAGTGAACATAGTGTATTACAGAAGATAAGATATTATTCATGCCGAGATAAATTTATTATAACTGTATTTCTGTTTTGGTTTTATGATTAATTCAAACAAAAAATAAAGGCTCGTGTTTCTTGTTCATCTTCCTCTGCTTGAGTGTTTTTGTTTCTGCCCAATTGTCCATATTTTGGATTTTTTTTTCCATGCTGGAGTTGGATTGAAGTTGATGGTTTCTGGAATTTTCCCAATAAATTATCAATTTGGTCCCAATGTAATTAAAATAAAAGGACCCATCGCAAAATACGGTTTGCATAAGGGGAAGGAGAAACGCACGTTACATTCGAATCTGATTGAGCATTTGCATAAGAAGATTGCCCGTGCGATTGCTTTAGATTCCGTACTTGCTGATGCGGCTTGGTCTTTAATTTGATAATTGGATTACCTTTTTGGATTGAGAAATTAAATTTAGGCCGTGAGAAGTTGGTCTGCTTCCTCAATCATAGCAGTTGCTCAATTTATTAAAAATTTGAGGCTGATGGCAGAATTTTCTTTTTTCTCTGTATCCATTATTTTCTTTTTCTTGCCTCAGAGCGGAAGGGGGTTTGTAATTGAGCCATTGAGGTACCATTCAAGGCATGTGTATTAACATCTGAAATGGTTCATCCTGATTAATTTTATAGACGCATTGCTTAAGTACTACAAAAGCTCTCAGTCTGCTTAAAATGATCATTTATTAAAAGAATTAAAGAAATATATGCGAGGCTGTAAATTATGTATAGATCGATATATTTTTCAGTTAGAAAGGAGGTGTGCTCTTGTGAAGGAGATGGGTAATAACTTATAGTTTTCTGGCAGCACATGTATAAACTCTGCCTCTAGTGTCTTTTATAGAGTCCCTTTCTTATTGTACTGAAACGTAATTATTTAATGATGTGTAGTTTTACGAAAACATCATAGAAGTTGCTTCTACGTTTTACCAACTAAAACATGATTCGTGGAAAACAGTATCAGCTTCTGTCGTTTTATTTTGATTTTTTGACAGTTGGGTCGTTTTGGAGATCTGTTGCTGACTTGCTGTTTTAATTTTAGGATGTCTTTTTTTTTTTTCCTTTTAATTGCATGTTGGTGCAGTAGGCTAAAATGATGAATCAGTTTTAGTAGCGTGGTGTGCTGTGTCGTACAAAGTTGGTGGAGGCACCATTTAGAGCAGAGTAACGACCTCCGTGGTCCTCCTTAGCAGCTTTTTGTGTGTAAAGGAACCCGTAGGGTTGTTTTCTAAGTGAGCAGTTTGAGAACTAAGGAAATAGTTTCTGGCTTTCGCATCAAACCATCGGGTCAACAAGTGCATTTCCACGACTACGGTTCTGTCAAAGACAAACGCAGTCCTGACAATTAACGTCAAAATTTACTTGTGAGCCCTATTTTTCAAAAGTGACACTTTAATATATGTAGTTGTTGGAGAAGATATTTACATTATACTAATTAACTTGTATATCAGTTTCAGTCTGCAAAAACCAGTTAAGATAAAAGTTATTTTTACCAACATTAATTTAAACAAACCCATATTCATCAAACCATCCTAAACAGTAGGCCAAGTGATAAGCAACAAATAAAAGGGTTGACTGTTAATATATCATTTGGGAGGTTATATTCTTAACTATTAAGTCTTTACGTGTACAGCATAAGCTCATAGAACCAAAATTTGAACAATCCCTATGGTATGTGATGAATGATCGCGTTATAATGGAAAATCCAAATTTATGGTTCACCCTCCTCCCGTCGGTGGCCATTCACCCGTCTTTTTGGCTTCCATGATTGGAGGGGAAAAAAATTAATTACATGGCACAGATATAGCACATCATATGGAAAACTAGGATCTACATGTGACTAGCCTTGCTGCGAATGATATTGCTGTAGACATCTCGTTCAGCAAAACTGGTGCAACCTTGTGTTCCCCGAGTGGGGACTCAGCGTGTGCCACTAATTTAGCTACAGCTTAGGGGTACCCATGGGAATCCCTTGGTGAGTTTTAAGACTTTGTACGATGTTTACCAGAGCTATTAGAAACCATCTTCATGATCCTTCTGTTTAAGTTCAGCTATCAACTTGTTCATTTACGTGTAAATATGCAAGCGGCAGCATGTTATTTAATGTATATGGCACTGTTCTCAAGAAGATATAAATAAAAGGTAAGCAAAATTTACTGCTTCTGCTTAGAACAATAATGTCAAGTACCCACCCATGACTTTTAGAACTGGTAAGTTTCACGTTTGATGCAGAATCTAGTTATGGATATCGCGTTATTTATTGGAGGACGCATCAATGTCCTGATTTTCCCCATACAGCCATACTGTAGCAGCATAAGCTAATGAAGCAGTAGCCTGCCAAAAGGATGATGCTGAAGATATGTCGATAATTATTGTCATTTAGTATATAAAAATGATAACTCAATGCTACTTATCTTGAATCCGATGCAAAAGATGTAAAGGAACTCAATTCTTAAGTGAAATAAAAAGCATTACTAGAACACAGCACAAGTTTGTAGAGTAACAATTTACAGTTGTGCTTAAGTTAACTATTAATTAGACGGAAATTGTCATCATAACTAGCCATATAGCTTGTCTAATGAAATACCCAAAATATCTTTGTTCATATCAAACCATACCTCGCGGAATACTTTGATAATGATGTCGTGATAGTCATCAGAATTCAGAGTGAGATAACATGTCAAAAGCTCTTCATATTCTTCCGGCTGATGAATATGCAACTCTGTGATCATCTCAACCATTGAATCTCTGAAGTCCTTCTCTGGATTCAATGAACGCCTCACCACAGCAAAGCTATCCAATAGTTCTGTTTTCTCCATCATTCTCTCCTTTGCCTTCTTCGTCTTCAGTTTCTCTTTCTTCAGGTCCTCCAGGCCTTTATTTTGCAGATTTCACTTTTGGAACCCATCCTTGGAGAATATACTCTCACCTTGGAGCTGTGCTTTGGTTTCCTTGTCTTCATCTCATCCTTTTTCAAATGCTGCCTCTCGCTTCGCAGTTTTTCCTCAGAGGATCGACTCTCAGTCTTAATACTTCCAAGGCTGGGATTCTTATAAGCTAATGGAGGAACTATAGAATGTTTTCTAGGTGTGCAAATTGTCCTAGGTGACTCAGGGTGTATCACATCTTTTTCTGCTGATTTAGCAGATGCAGATTCAGCTTTATCAGTAACTTTCTCTAGTTTCAATATTCTCTCATGCAAAGCTCTCTGTGCTTTCTTCTCAAAAGTCCTCCTTAACTTCTCTAGTTCTTTTTCTCGATCATAATCATCTCTCTCCAGTGAAATCCTAGTATCTTTTGGGAATTTGTTTTCTTCTTCTGTACCTATCTCCTTCTCCTTGAACTCCAAAGTTCCTTCTTTTCTTCCATGTTTCCTGTCATTCCGTCCACCACTACTGCAACTAGAGACTGGAACGACAAGATCATCATCCAGATTGCTCGACTCCGTTTCAAGAATATTCTTACTTCTCTTCCTCTCATGACTCTCTTCAACAAGTGGAAGTCTCCAGAAACCATCATCATCCCCATTAAGAGACATACCACCTCCAACCCCACAAGCATACTGTGATGAACTGACAGAAAGAGAGTCTGGCTTTCCCTTCTGCTTCACTTTTCCATAACCAGGCTCTGTATTAACCCTCATGTGCTTGAACTTGGACAGCCATGAAAGAAGAGAGACATGAGAGATAAACGAAGGTCTGGATGAAGAGGCAGAAGATTTTTTCCGCCCCCACCTCATCATTTGCTGCTGCTGCTGCTACGGACAAGATACAGGAATTCTTGTTTGTTCGTGTTTTTTGGTTGGAACTGTTGCTATTGATTCGGTTAAGTAAGTGATCGGTCGCAGAGAAGATGAAGTGGAATGAAGGACGAGTAATGATGGTAGGAGAGTTGAAGCTTGTAGAACGGTTAGGATGTTTAATGGGGACGTGGGTTTCTTACTGATTTTTGTTGATATATTGCAAAGCAGGTACATGGCCTCTCATTTCCTGTGACCTCTCACCCACTTTTCCTACGTCTTTTTCAGTTTTTACGAGAGAGAGAGAGAGGGACCTCTTTTTTAGGCCCACAAACTCTTAGTTGTGGCTGGAAAGTAGCACCAAACTATTTATCTATCTTTCACATTTTTACAGTCGCAGCTTTACACACAACTGCACTAAATTTCTTTTTTTTCCTGCCATCAAATGCATTTAACATATATATCAGCAGGATTTGGTTACATTTTAGACGGTACAACGGAAGTGAACACAGCAATAAAAATTTATTTATCAGTGTTCATGAAAAAAAAAAGGTTTCATATGAATTAATTGATCGGGTAAGACAAGAATAACCGATTTCTGAGACTAGCGTATAGTCGTGTCGTTTTAATTAAAAGCTTCTTCTGGACTTTGAGATGAAGGATGATTTAGAGCACTAGGATGCCAATCTAGTCTTCTTTTTCAAGTTTTACTACCTCGTATTGGATTCTAGCAAGGGACTGCGATTTTTTTCACCAAAATCATTGTTTCTTTTTGCTTTTTCTCTTTTCCATGTCCAGTCAATTATTTCCGTTACAGTCAAAGCCTCATGCGTCATTGCAGTGCTGTTAGGCTGCTCTCAATTTGGGCCACTCCGTCCTCCAGACCAAGATGACCAAAAATGGATCTTAAACTCCTGACGATTGGGGTATGAGACAGGAAGAAAGACATTGAATGAATGATTTGCAAGATTAAGAAATGTGCTTAAATATAGATATCTACTCTAATGCTTTTTGTTATTCTCTGTCTGATTGATTATTTATTTGGAACTGTGATAGAATCTGCAATTGAAACGTAACGACGTTCCTTTCCATGCAACTGCACTACCTGTAAATTCATCTTTATTCAGCTGTGATATGGTGGTAGTGACATGTTCCTAAACAACCAAATATGGATGTGGGCTTCATACCTTCAAATTCCCTTTCAGGACATGTTATCTCAGACTTATGAATCCTGACAACAATAACTTGGATAGGATTACTCAAAAGTCAAGAATGGATCTAATCGAATCGCTTCATAGAAAAGGAAAAGGCCGGGGGGGGGGGGGATGAAGCATGAATTTCTTTACAATTACCCAAGAACTTCCATTTTCCAGCAGTATGCTGACTAATGAGAAACACCCTTCAGCTTCAAGACTGGAATTCTTCTCTCCATTGATTGGAATGTGAAAGCGTTTAACTGAGTGGATTAGTGTATGCATCAGTTTCAAAGATTTCCCACCTTCGACGCGTCAACATAGATGGGTAATTAATTTCAGGTCAATTTGAAAAAAAATAGATGAATAATCCAAAGTTTTGATTAAAACAAAGATGCCAATCTCCTCATTGAAACTAGAACGACTTGACATGCCGATCTGTTCATTTTTATTCTTCTCCGACTAGAAATACGTTACGTTATACGGGTAAATCAACTTTTTTGAACAAGAAGTAAATTGAAAGAATACCTATAGATAAAAAAGAAGATAAATAAATATGACTCGGTAAACCTTATAAATAATTATGAAATTATTTATTTTTAATAGGAAGAAAGACCAGGAGCCACTGAGAAATGGGGAAAGAATGTAGTGGAAGGAAACCACCTGGCAAGTCCCCAAGACAGAATGGCGGTGCGGTGTGGAATATGGTAGCTGGTCATTATGGCTATTATTATAAAAGAAGAAGAATAAGTTCCAATCTCCACCATTCAAAGGGGCCAATTACTACTTTAGCTCCATTCTTCAAATATCTTCTCCGCTTTTCTCCAGAATCTTGACTATAATATGCTGCAGAATTTTCTAGAATAGCAATAGCATCTTGAGGGGGAAAGTTCCTGGACATGGTTGCTTTCTCTGAGCAAATTGTGAAGCATTGAGAGTCTGGGAATATAACATCTCTTTCTGTGATCCACCTTTGTTCTATCTTTGTGGCAGAAAAAGGAATCTCCATGTCACAGTGGGCAACATGACTAACACACCATTAATTTTTGGGCTACTCTAGATTCTTACAAGGACTTCAAATTAGTTGATTACACCCAACACCCAGTATCTGCAAGCTCGGATTGGAATATCAGGTACCACGCAAGTCTGACTGAAGACTGACTGTCAAATTCTTGACTGAACTGAACTGAGAATATATACCACCATGGTACGCACCCAGATGACGTCTGAGAATTATATAAGGTTTATAATAACAAGAAAAAGGGAGAAAATTAACACATGCATGGAATGGGCTAACTTGAGATTTTTCATTATTGCTTCTTATACCTTACGCCTGCTTATTCATCAATCTCCCAGAATACATATGGAACAACTTGTGTAATTTCTTATGAACTTATATATTTCAATGAAAGAATCTGTGAAGACTTGCAACAAAACTGTGGGGGGATGTGAAAAAACCGCAAGGGTGTTACATTACAAGAGAGGGACAGAAATAGACATTGGTACTGAAACATCCCCCGCAAAGGTTGTATCTCTACCGGTAGCTGAATTGCCAGCATATGCATATCCCACATCTAGTCCACCATAATGCGGAGATGTATTTTCACGTCTCTGAAACACTCTAGCAAGTGAAGCTGCTTTCCTTCTAGCCCTTTTTGTTCCTGTAAAAAGTAGGGTTTGAAGCAATCCGGCCAAAGCCGGTGCCCTCACCACCCTCTCGGTTGCTGCTGCACCTCCACTCCGGCACAGCTCCAGTAATGCTGCTACAGCATTCTCTTTCCCCCGTGCGGTTCCACAGCGCATCATTTCCATCAATCCAGCCACCGCTTCTTCCTCCTTCACCACTGCCTTAGCTCCGACAGGTTGCCGGACAATCAAGGCAAGTGCGCCTGCTGCTTCCTCAGCCACTCCTTCGGTCCTCAAAGCACCAACTAGAGCTGTTATAGCTCCGGCTTCAATCATTCTAGTACAGTTATCAGAGTGGGTGGAAAGATTGAATAAGGCTGTCACTGCATCTTTCTTTCCTCTTAGGTTTCCCTCTTGCAAGAGCCGGGCCAGGGCTTCAATTGCTCCTTCCTTATCTGCAATTATCTTCTTATATTCATGGACTGCTGAGAGGCTGAACAATGTTGCAGCAGCATTCTCTCTTGCCTCCGTTGTGTGACCTAATCTCAATACATCAACCATGGATTCCAGACAACCTTCTTCATCAATGATCCGTCTCTTGTTCTTCTCATATATTGACAGGTTGAGCAATGCTGTCACTGCATTCTCCTGAGCAATGGCATTAGGAGATGAAAGTAGTTTACAAAGGCGAGGAATCGCCCCAGCTTCTGCAATGAATGCACGATTTTCCTTGCCTGTTTTAGCAAGCAATCGTATCTCCCGGGCGGCTATAGTCTCTGCAACTCGTGATCCATTCTCCAGCTGCGGAATGAGAAGCGTTGCTGTTGCTCGATTGGCTTCAAGGGCAGCTTTTGATGGAGAAGCCATTGAAAAGGTATCCGGCACTGCATCTACCGCCTCCAGTGAGTCATGAGGGAGTCCATGTGCAGTGCAAAACTTCATGATCAAATTCTTCAGAGCTCGATTCCGGACAAGTTTTGTGTGGGCAAGCATTTGTCCTGTTTTTGGACAAGTACAATGCCCTTCTTCGAACCACCTTGATATGGAGCTTCTATCATATGTTTGTCCTGTGGCGATTATCACTGGGTCTTTCATCAAATCCAACGATATTGGGCAGTAAAAGTCCTTAGGCATAGTTACAAATGCTTCAGCAATTTCTTGATTAATCAACCTCTTCTTCAGTTTTTTCATCTGGTTTCCATTTTCTAGTTCTACTTCATCTTCCTCAAATCCGAAGAGCAAAAATCTAGAATACCGTGTCAATGCAACCAAACCATTAAGCACAGAAACTGTTGGCTCAACATCTCCTTCGTGGTTAATAATCTGCTCCTCCAATGACTCAATTTCTTCTCTACAACTCCTAGCATCCAGAATCTGCAGTTTCTTTATAAAAAATGATCGTAGCCCTGCTGAATCAGGAACTCGCCCATTCTCAAATTCATCAAGATACGACAAGAACTCGGTGCGGAGCTCATCGTCTTTCTTGTCAATAAACAACTCAGCTCTCCTAGATTGTTTCTGCAATAGCTCAATCTGTTCTCTGATATCCTCACTCAATTGAACATCCTTAGTCGGGAATACATCCAAGAGAGTCGAAATTTCTTTATTCAAATCATGGAAATGACCAGAAACTGAATGGTTCTGAAGCAAAAGCCATAACCTACCCGACTGCGCGCAATAATCAAGCAGAATCTTCGACCGATACAGAAGAAGATAGAGCTCCTTAAGACAAACCAACCCTGTCATCGGAATATCTGTTCCGCTGTCCCGTAGGTACTCCAAAAGCAACTGAAACACCTCGACCTTTCGTATAAACGCCCGCGAATTCTTGCGTTGAAAGAAGAACGAACGCCCGGAGAAGCAAGAGACAAGCTCGCTAGCCACGGACACGACAGTTTGAACCAAGGAAACATCTGTCAGGTCAACCGGAGCAAGAAAGGCGTCCAACGACGGCGACCTCCGCCGTCGCAGGGAGGAAAATATAGCCCCCGAAGCCATGCAACTCCAGCAAGAAATTCTGGGTTTTCCAACTCCACGGACTCCCCGAGTTCGATGAGTATACAGCTCCAATGAGCTCAAAGGTCCACTTCGGGGGGTCACAACCCTCAAAAGCCAGAAAAACAATAAAACTAAGGAGTGATTTGCACACGGAAAGACCGAAAAGAAACTACTCAATTTTCTGAGCAAGCAATTAGATCTGCGAAACTTAGTGGGGCGCCAAACAACAAGAACAGAGGCTAAGAAACAACTGCTTTTGGGGGGAAGTTTGAACAATTGTTGGAAAGGGTTAAAAAGAAGGGGACGTAGCGAAGAGAGGAAGGAGGGGATTAATTAATTGGGAAGAAGAAACGCGTGATAGAAAGGAAGAAGAAGACGAGAGGAAGGGAGGGAGGGAAGGCAGAGAGTGAAATTCCAAACACGTAGGTTTTTTGTTTTTTATAATGCAGCGTTTGGCGAAAATGACTTTGGCGAACTTTGACGGATGATTATTCAGATTACTAGATTAGATTCTCGTCCACTGCTTTTTGGTTAGTGCAGAGGCGCAAGGTGGAGGATAGAGCTGGGAAATTACGATTTTGGGATGTGAGGTCAGCGTGTGTCAGGTAATCTTTTGCCGGCTTTCTCTCTGTGCTCCTTTTTCATTTTTATGTTTTGACTTCCCAACCAATCTACTGTGTTCATGATCCTGAGACTTGATTGAGGTGAGATTCATGATAATGGCAAATACAGATCTCACCAGGGCATTCATGATAATTAAACATTTTTAATTATTAAGATGACGTAAAAAGATGATGATTTTTTATTTGTAAGTGAAAAATAAATAACTTTATAAAATTATTCTTATTACTAAAGGTCAAAAATAACTAATAGAAAGTCACTCGTGATTTTTTTGGGATTCTCCCGTGGGAACATTTACACTCTTATATTACATGTAAAAAAAATATTTTGGAATAATACATTACGTTTTAATTTACATAATTTTTTTATTAGTGCTTAATTGATAGAATATAATTATGCACCTAATGGAAGCAGTTAAAAAAATTACCAAGAAAAAAATAAAAAGAAAAAGAAAATCATATTGCGAGTGATACGGGAAAGATGGGTTGACTTGAGCGGGTCTGTTTTTCCACACCACACCACGCGATTACCGCATAGGCGGACACTACCACATGTTTGGTGTAGGAAAAATGGAAGAAAAATGACGAATTTTTTTTTTTTAATAAGCTCATTCTAAAAATAAAAAAAAGATTTTAAAATTTTAATTAAAAAAATATATAAGATAAAAGAGTAATAAAAATTAATGAAATACTTCTAATCCTATTTTTTAAAATTAAACTTATTAAAAAAATTTCTTTCTTTTTTCATTTCCGTGATACCAAACAAAGCAGCGTCACATTATCTAACCGGATGGCCCTTTAGGTACGATATGTATAATATCTTTAATGGTAGAATATTATAATAGGTATATAAATATATGTATATTAATAATAATTATGGACGTGTTTATTATATGGGCGGTCCTTTTGATGCGTGGTGGGAGGTAATTGCTGGACACTGACGCTGCCTTTCTTTGTTTTGACCAAAGCACCCATTCAAAACCACACGTCTTGATCAACCCTAACCTCTCTTTCGCCATCATTATAATTTGAGGACTACGTCAAATATATTACAACAACTAGTTTCATATTTAAGTTATTTTATAAAATAAAATAAAATAAATTTTATGTTTAAAATTAATTTTTATATTAAAAATTAGAGGTAGTATTAGAGTTTCTTTACATGATTATTTGTCCGATTTGCTTGGTGGGTGAGTGAGTATTGAGATGAATATTCAACATCGTTGGTTGTGCTGTGTGCGTACGCCCTTGTTCATAAACTCTTTCATTTTTCCCCCCTTTTATAAGAATCAAAACACATTAAAAAACTAAAAACAACAAGATCAAGTTACAATACCTAAAATTAACAGGCAAAAGTTAAGTAATATAAGCTCTTTTAACTCCATCCTATGTACTAATAAATCTTGATGCAGAATGTTAGCTGAAAGCTTATTGGTATCATATCTTAGAATGAATTGTTTCTTGACACGGTAGACTTGCAAGCGTTGCAATTCTGCATAGGAGAATAAGGGAGAATTCCTGAGTCGATGTAGGTTAGATATGAAACATTGGAGTTTAGAGTGAGAGGTGTAATTGGATGATGTTGTCTAAAGAATTCTTTGTATTGATTGTCTTTGGTAGCATTTCCAAGTTCTGCAGCAAAGCTTCTCTCTGAATTCATACTCTTGCATTATGATAATCCAACCTTCTTCATTTTAATTAAAAGGTTCAGATGGATTGTCACTGAGGAAAAAGAGTTCCTTCCCTTTGAATCATGTACCTGTGAAAAGACAAGACATGAAAAAGCAGCTGAATGGTGAATTTCTTCCACCACCGAGTGAGCAGTGAGGTGCTGGCCCTAATGCACAGTTTGATTTCTCCTCCTCTATGTGATATTAAGCAATATAATGATTTACTGAATCACCTCTTATAAACCATTCTTATGCAAAACTTGGAGAATTTCATTGAGCCAGGTGTGAAAATCATTCACAGACTCTTTCCGCCAATGTGAAATGCTTTTTTTTTTTGGCAATAAATGCAAATTATGTTTCTTTATCTATACTTAAAATAAAATTCTCAAAATTTTAATTCCTTCAAGCCTGTTGCAATATAAACTTCTCTTCTGATATTAAGAAATAATACTGTGCATTTTAAAAATAATAAGCAATTTGTAAATACTTTCAACAAATTTCAGTAGAAATTCATATTATTTTTTTTGGTTTTAAAGAAGTTCTTCACAAATATTAAAAAAATTAAAAAAAATTATATAATGATAATAAAACTAGCATGTTGAATTCTCAGTTGGAAGTACAATTAGATAGTTTGTCGTGCATTATAAAATTTTAAAAAATAATTGCACTATTTTCATAAAAATATATTGTGACTTTGCCTGCTGCCTCTCCTCAACGGTATGTGAAGGCTACCCAAATCAACTCACTTTTCCATTGCCTTTTCAAGGGGGGTGAAAAAACAAGAAAAAGAAGTTATTTTCAACCCTTTGACTATCTCTTATCTTGCATTCTTCAGCGGACCGACCACGCAACACTATATGTGATCTATGTCATTAAGAGTGAACTTTAACATAAAAATAATTATTTATTCTTGGTATACTGATTAATTGATTAATAAGTTGAACAGTTAAATAACTATATGATAAAATAATTATTGAAATTAAGTATCCCTACCTTAATTATTATTGTCAGCGATATTTAACAAGAATTTTATGAAATTAGTATTACTACCGTTGTTGTTATTTGATAAGCTCAGATTATTGTGATTTTATTTTTTGTTTTTTTAGATTTTTAAATTAATAATATGCAGTACATAATTTAATTCCAAACTACTATTTCCGGTCCTAATTATAAGACCATTTTGATAGACTATAAATAAGATTTTATAATTAAATCCGGAGATAATAATTACCAAAACTTTATAGTAATTAAGCCATTTTGAAGATCGCTAAAGAAAATTGTAGATTTGAAAGTATTTTTGTGTGTTTCTCTCTTAAAATAGCCGCATAATACTACATCTAGTTTTTAACATAATAGTCATTGGATCTTTAATATAAGACCCATTTAACTAATTTTATTAGATTAAGAAAGTTAGGTAAGTTAGTTAATTACAAGAAATGTGACACGTTTTTCCTAAAATACCATAATCATTTTTCTTAATACCCATCTCTCTCTTCTACTTGATTATGGTTGAAGGAGTATCCATAAGGGTAATTTAAAGAAAATTAAAAAATATGAGAAATATGTCTTATATTTAGGATCAAAATTAACTCAACAATTGGGTCCTATATTAAGAACCGGAGGCGTATCTAGTTTGATTTTTAATATGTCACTCTAAATATAAGACCTAATCTATTTTGTCTCTTATATTTATCTATTTTTTTAAAGTAGTTTGTGTAATAGTTGTACATGTTAAAAGTTTCATCGAATAGTAGTTCCAGGTAATACATATCATTAATAAGTATATTTTAAGAAAGACAATATCTATTTATGATAAATAATTAACTAAATAAATTTTTTTAATCTATTTAAATTAGTCAACTAGTTTTTATACCACCTCTAATTCTTATAAATTAAACAAATTAGTTAAGTTACTTATTTATAATAAATATGTATCGTCTTTTCTAAAATATATTTGTTAATCAATGTATTAGTTTGAACTACTATGTAATAAAACATTTGATATGTACAATTACGACAAAAAATATTTTAAAAAATAATAAATATAAGAGATAAAATAAATTAAAATTTTATATTTAAAATTAAATTAAAAATTAAACTAGTTTTTCTATTAATTCTAGGAGGTGGTATTAAGCATTGGAATTGGAAGTAACAGTGGAAAGGAATTGTCCAAATGGTGCTTCCTGGATGTTGCGTGGCTTCGGTACTACCTCCACATTGCTTGCTGTCTGCTTTCCTGCCTATCCCTCGTATTCCTCACACGCTTTTCAGGTTTTTACTTTTCTTTGCTTGACTCCAGTGGCTCCATCCACAAAGGGCCATCCGCGGTATCATTATACTATTTCTGTTAATTAAAAATTATTTTAAACCATGACTATAAATATAGACTGGTAAATAAAATAATAGACAATAATAACTTGGCGGCAAAAAATAAATTTTAAATTAGATAATTATACGTCGCGAGTATGTGATTGGGAAATGTATACAGACTCAATCTCCATGAAATTTTCTTTTTATCCGTCTACACGCAGTCCACCTCACCAATCACCATTAAGAATAGGTCGGCCACACAAATAAAAGTACTCTTTCCTGTTGTTAATATAAATACTTTTTGATTTTTATTTTGATTTTAAATATAAAAGTATAATCTATTTTGTTTTTTTATATCTATTTAATTTTTTTCAATATAATTCTTGTAATAATAATATTGCAGTCAATATACTTGATTAACAATGATATTTTAAGAAAGACAAAACCTATTTATTTTAAATAACTAATTTAATTAGTTTTTTTAAATCTACTCAAATTAATCAACTGATTTTTATATTAAGGACTGGAGGTAGTATTATGTAGAAACAACATTTTAATGTGCTGTACTTCTCCAGTCCTTAATATAAGATCTGCTTAACTAATTTGATTAGATTAATAAAGTTAGATAAATTATTTAATTATAAGAAATATGACATATTTTTCCTAGAACACTATAATCATCTTTTCTTGATATCCTCTCTTTCTCCACTTGATTACGATTGAGAGAATATTCATAAAGATAATTTTAAAAAATTGATAAATATAATAAATAAGTATTATATTTAGAATTAAATTTAACTTAATATTTAGATATTTTTTTCAGTTCTGCTTTCATATCGAAAATGGAAGAATGCCCCACTCATCGTTGTCCTTGCGGGGTTTGGATTATAGGAGAACGGCCCAAACGTGTTTCCAAACGAAAGCCCGAAGTCCAAAAAATTAACAAAAAAAAAATGTCTGAACGACTACACGCGTCTCAATACTATTAGTCGAACTGTCGTGGCAAGACTGCGGGTGCACCACAACGCACCAAAAATGCAGCCAAGTGTTTGAAAATCCACGTTCTTTCCGTCGTGGCAAATCCATTTGTCCCTCTTTATATAACAGCCTCTTCGGGGCTGTCTGAATAAATCCCTAGAGTTTCGATATCCTCCTGCTAAATAGTTCGATCCCATTGCAGATCTTCTGATTCCCATCGTAAGCTCCAATTTTAGTTCTGGATTTTGCTTTTCGCCTTAATTCGTTTCCGCTGTTTTGTTCAATTCAGAATTCTTGTAATGCGCTGAAGAAATAGTTAGTCAATCCATATTATTGTATTAGATCTGATGCGTGTTCTGGATTTATTTCCCAAAGGAGGTTCTGGCTGATGAGTTACATCGCTCATGGAGCTTAAATATCATTTTGTATACTCAGTTGCTGATAATTTTTCGTTAGATTCGTCCTGTACGTTTGTGCATGTGTCTGGTAGTGAATTGAGTTTATTGTCACCTAGCTGTTGAATTTGGATTCGGAATTTTTAGTTTTTCGTTTATTTCAAAGGCGTCAGGAAGATTAAAAAGAATGTAGACTCGATCACTTAGGTAGCTATCGATGTAAAACAATTGTGGAAGATTTGAAGCTATTAATTTGATCTATCAAATCTCCTGGCACGTGAAATGCGTGCATGCCTGATTTGGTTGTTTATGTTCTTAACAAACATTTGGAATTGTGCAATATAGCGGCTTGATCTCCATCTTCGTCATGCACTGTTGAGTTGCAACATTGTTTTTTGTAAAATGTTAGAAATTAAGGGATATGTTTCATTTCACTCTTAATTATTGTCGTTTCATTTAGGAACTAAAATGATAGTTTGGTTTCCGGTACTCCTTGGATATGGCTCTCTAAAGTTGTTGAGTGGAGTCAATAACAAAAATATTTTGATTTTCGATATTTTATTATCATTTGGCAATTATGCATATGATTTGGGAATGCTCTTCATTTACATTGTTTTGTATACTTAGTAGTAATTGCATTGCTTTAGGTTTGGCTGTTGGCCTGATGTAATGTTGAAAAACATCTGCAGGTTGGTTAAGTTGGCAGAAGTTGGTTTTGATTAGTTCAAATGGGAGGAGGGTTTAGAGTGCTGCATTTGGTTAGGCCATTTCTTTCATTTCTCCCAGAAGTTCAGACTGCTGACAGGAAGATTCCCTTCAGGGAAAAGGTTATATACACAGTCATCTCTCTCTTCATCTTTCTTGTCTGCAGTCAGCTTCCTCTTTATGGAATACATTCCACCACGGGTGCCGACCCCTTTTATTGGATGCGTGTCATTCTCGCATCAAACAGGGGGACTGTTATGGAACTTGGTATTACTCCAATTGTTACCTCTGGACTAGTTATGCAGCTCTTGGCAGGGTCAAAAATCATTGAGGTGGACAACAGTGTGCGGGAGGACCGCGCACTACTGTAAGTATTTTTCATTTTAGTTCCCCCCCCCCCTTTTCCCATTATTTGTTTGTTTCCTTGTAGAAAACTGTGGGCAAACGTCTTTGTGAACTCATTGTGTTTCGTGTTTTAGTTATTTATAATAATCTGTTTATGTACTTCAATGTTTTACTCCTGTGCATTAACTGCACTAAGAGTGGGCTTTTAGATCTGATATAGTTAGCAGCTTCTAATATAAATTCACTTACCTTTTGAGAGGGAACGGGTTTCCTGCTGAATAACATAAAGCAGTGTCTTGATTCTCAGGCCATTATGTTCTGTTGCAGGAATGGGGCTCAGAAGCTGTTGGGGATCCTTATAGCAGTTGGCGAAGCTGTTGCTTATGTCTTATCTGGGATGTATGGTAGCGTTGGCCAACTTGGTGTTGGGAATGCCATTCTTATTATAGTTCAGCTTTGCTTTGCTGGAATAATTGTTATATGCCTTGACGAACTTCTTCAGAAGGGATATGGTCTGGGTTCTGGAATTTCACTTTTCATAGCTACAAATATCTGGTAGGAGACGACCTTTTCCCTTTTGTGGTGCAATATATTAAGTATTTTCAGTAGATTTTTAGTTTTCATTATTTTTTCTCATCATTGTACAGTGAAAACATCATTTGGAAAGCATTTAGCCCCACAACAATCAACAGTGGCCGGGGAGCTGAATTTGAAGGTGCTGTTATTGCACTGTTTCATCTTCTGATTACAAGGACAGATAAAGTTCGTGCTCTTCGTGAGGCTTTCTATCGGCAGAACCTTCCAAATGTAACTAATCTGCTTGCTACAGTCTTGATCTTCCTAATTGTCATTTACTTCCAAGGGTTCCGTGTGGTTTTGCCTGTGCGATCAAAGAATGCTCGAGGGCAACAGGGTTCATATCCAATCAAGCTTTTCTACACCTCCAACATGCCTATCATTCTACAATCTGCCCTTGTCTCCAATCTTTATTTCATTTCCCAGGTACATGCTTCACTTAGCATCCTTAACAGTATTAAATTTACTTGAGCCAAGACATGTCATTTATTCAGAAGAACTGTTTCTTTGCAGTTGCTATACAGGAAGTACGGTGGTAATTTCATTGTGAACCTCTTGGGGAAGTGGAAGGAGTCTGAATATTCCGGTCAATCTATTCCTGTTGGTGGTCTTGCGTACTACGTCACAGCTCCAGCAAGGTAATTAGATTAGAACTTCTTTTTCTGATTTCATCTATAAGTGGATTGGATTATAATTATCTTGTATTAACTCATGAGCACACTGCAGCTTGGCAGATATGGCAGCTAATCCTTTCCATGCGCTGTTCTACCTTGTGTTTATGCTGGGAGCTTGTGCACTGTTCTCAAAAACTTGGATCGAAGTTTCTGGATCCTCTGCTCGAGATGTGGCTAAGCAGCTCAAAGTAAATCCTCTATATCCATCTTAATGTTATTGTGTTGAGCATTATGCTGAGTCCTGCATCACATGGTATTGATCTACTTGTTTAACTTTGTTCTGACTTGCTAGGAACAACAAATGGTGATGCCTGGCCACCGAGACTCCAATTTACAGAAGGAACTGAATCGCTACATACCTACCGCAGCCGCCTTTGGTGGGATGTGCATTGGTGCATTGACCGTCCTGGCAGACTTCATGGGGGCAATCGGTTCAGGGACCGGGATATTGCTTGCTGTTACCATCATTTATCAGTACTTCGAAACATTCGAGAAGGAGAGAGCCAGTGAACTCGGCTTCTTCGGCTTTTAGGCGTTAGCTTCTTGGTATAACCTTTAACAGTGAGGTGGCTCTGGGGCTGGTAGGAAAAATCTTTGTTTGTACTGGATTCAGCACCAGGGCAGTAATGTAAAGACTGGTCTAAGTCCAACGCCTCTCGAAAGGAAGGAAAAGAAGCAATCGAGTAACGCCCAATCAAGACTCGGGCTATTTAATTCTAGATTGATTGTAGTTTGGTCCTTTTTCGTTTTTCAAACTTATTTTCCTGGGCAGAGCATACTTTTGGGTCAGATAATTTTGATGTGCCTTATTTTTTATTTTATTTTAGTATGATGTTGATATCGAACAAGAAATGTCACTCGGATTTCAAAATCGAGGTGAGTTGAATTTTTTCTTATTCGAATGCAGATATGGCCTGTGGAACTTGGCTGAGCTGTTATCAGATACGAATTATTTAAAAAAACTTCTATAAAAAAATAATTATGACAATCATCAAAATTCTGGCAAATAAAGTTGCAACCATAAAAAATACACTTACTAGTCAACTAGATAAGATGGTTTCATTGCTTGAGGACCTTGAAAAGAAGAAAAGAAAGAAGGAAGAAAAATGAAAGCAACTCAAAGCAGGGGACATGAAGAGAAATGCCCAAGAACAATGATATGATATGTTGGACAACTAACCTTATCTCGCGTGTAACACATTAATTGGACCACTGGGTGATTGGCCCTCGATCTGTAGATGTACTCGACGATGGTGTTGCTTGGGCTTTTAAAATCCATGTGAGTTAAATTTTTTTTGATTTGACTCTTTAAGTTATATCACAGAGTTGGCTGAGATGCTGTTGCTAGGTAGGTTGGATAATGGCGCCACTTCCATGGCAAGAGGCGTGACGTGATGAAAAGTTCGCGACAACCATGAATGCTTTGTCATGTCATAATAGTTGTGCTAACACTTGACAATAATTAGCGTGACATGCTTCTCAAAAACCAATTGGCCTCTGGTTATTAGAAGTTTGAATCAACACTTGTTAGCGTGAAGTATCCTGGCATGAAGATACCCTTTTTTTTTCCCGGCTGTTTTTGGACTGAGCTCGGCATAGTAACGGACAATCGGTTTCATGAACAATCTTAATCTACGCCTATTCTAACAACAATTGATCGCGTCGTGAGGTAGGACTATTTCATTACAAATAAAATAGAAAAAAAATCTGAGTAGTCTCAAGTGAAAAAAAAAAAAACTAAATGCTATGTCCTAAGAAAGTTAATATTTACATGCTTAACTTGTAAATAATGCGACTAAATTTGTAAATATAAAAGCCTGACTTATAAATATTAATTTTTAAATTAACTTTTAAATATTGAATCTCTTGAAACTTATCAGTGTTAAATAAAATTTGGTAGACCTATGTATTTAATTTATTTCACCTATGACTTGCGGATGATTTTCCAACAAAATATTTGCTTAAATGTTTTCAAATTGAATGCTTTTTTTTTTTTTATCTGTTACAATTCCATAATATGAATTTGCATGTGTCTTTGGCTTTTGTGGTAAATCAGTAAGTACTTGTTAAAGAAAGAAAGAACTTAGCGGTGGCGGGTTAGTTCCCACTCCTCAGGGTCAAAGGCTAATCTGATAGACGACTGTGTTTTAGTGAATTGGAGAGGATTGGACAGATACAACAGGAGAGAAGCTGCCATTATAGAATTAATTCTATATAATCCTATTGTTTAGAGTCTCTTAGCAGAAATTGCAACATTCAGATTCAAAAATGCTTCCATACGTTAAATCTTCTCGGCGCTAATGATACTAAAGATGAGATGCAACGTATTCATGTATATTTTTCCATTCTTTGATCAAATAAACGAGGCGAGGGGATCTATCATATCAGATTTGGTTCCTTTATTTACTGATACTCTGCTGATATGTATTAATTTATTCTCCTACACTTTGTTAAGATTTTGTGTACTTTATGATCAAACTAAAGACTAAACCTTTGCGTGAGATTCCATTTTCTGCTGCTGAAGCAACCTTACCTTCCTAGGATTCTGCTTTCCATCAATTTCTCGTTTGTTATGCTGCGTTCATCCAGCCGATGAAACTGACACTGAAAAACAATATACCTCAATCTCACTGCTGCATATTTTTTCACTCCACATCTGTGTTCTTTTAATAAAAGTATCCGTGGCACCTGAAAACAATTACCTACATGGTACTGAAATTGTTGTTTACATATTTATCAAAAGACTTAAGCTTCCCTATAATCACATGCCTTTTAAAATGAAGAAGAACCGTTGAAGGCTTTTAATTATCTGAGTGAAGAACAAATCCATTCAATTAAAAGATCAGATTTGCCAGGTGAACTCACTATGCTAACGTCAATATGCACGTGCTACAGCGTTCTGTGGGGCTTCAACCCCATATATCTAGGGCTAAGCGTAATAAAAGATAGGCAACACAGTGCACTTGAGCCCTTATTTTGGACTTTGGTGTCATGCATTAATAATGTTATTCCGTGCGGTAATAATAGTAGTATAATAATAATGAAATGGTGAGCCTTGGTACTGCTAATTGGATGCATTCAACTTTTCTACCATTAGAAAAAGGCCCATATTCTTCCCATTTTCCCATCATAGTCCTTGTAAGATTCCAAAGCCTTCAGACTAGACCATTGTGCTTCTGCCATGGCTGAGACAGTAGGCTAAAGGCTCCAACTTGAATAAAATGTCTGTGGAAATTAATTGAAAGCAATTAATGGATCATCTGTGGACAAAGATGCTGTTCCCCTCCTCTGGCCTCAGCTTCAGAGGTGTATGTACCAGAGTACATGCCCTTCATAAGGTCAGTATAATAGTGCTGACATATATATATATATATATATATCAGAAGTATGTGTCCCATTTCATATGGTACAAGCAGTTTTCTGGAGCATTCTGTGAGGCTAGAAGGAAGCAAGAGTCCTAAAGCCACTACCTACTGCCCTGACATGGTTTCAGTTTTAAGTACTTTTGCTATGAGAGTGATATGCAATGCAATGAACGATATATATGCACTGTTTTCTTTTTCTCTTTTCATTCCTTTTTTTTTTTCCTCTTTGGAAGAATTATATATATATATATATATTTGGCTGCCTTTTGGAAAGCATGTGACAAGACAGTACCAAAACTTTCAACACTGGGCTATGGAGCGGTTGAAAAACCATGTGGGGTACTCTGATCTTTACTTCAACACCAACGGGTGATACATACACGAGCACACACTGTCAAATGATATTATGAATCAATGCGCAGGTAAAAGCACAAGTGATAAATCAAGACATTTTTGTTCTTAATCTAGCGATTCGATCTAACTAGTTGGCTGGAACAGATGGACACACAAGTTGTTTTTATATACAGCGGAAAGTAGTAGGACCACATGATATATCCATCAAATAAAAGGGGGAATTCGGGTTGTCTTTATAAATAATATTAAAGACAACATGTCCCTATTGAACCCCACACAGGAAAGTGATAGCCCAAGTATACATATACTAGGATTAACCTTAAAAGGTCTTATGATTATTGATTAAGGAATTGATGGTTTTTGTTAATAATACAAGAAAGGGTGATATTTTTACGAGTTGCTTGCCATTTGCGAGATTAATGACTACGCCAAATCATTTGTATGTATATTTGCTATTATATCATTTCCTTCACGGAGACTCCTTTCGGTATAATCTTCTACAGGGACACCAACCACTCATTACAAATCATTCTCATGCCTTAATTAACGTAGGGATCCACCACCATATAGTTTTGTTTCATTCCAGCACATATTTTGCCTTCCAAATTTTGGAATATTATTTCAATTCAATAATCAAAGTCATATATAAGTCATAACACTCGTATGGACGTAATTAATAAGTGGTATAGTAATATATGGTGAGTTTTCATGTCCAAATAATTCAGTGTATTATATAACTTTGTCTCATTTAGTGTTTCCATTTTCTTTTTTGTCTGGGTTTGCAGTAATTAGCTGATCAATTCAGTATAATCGAAGTCATAAGTAAGAATGTTTCCATTTACTTTTTTTTTATATTCCTCAAATTTAACCTACTTAAGTATATACAAACACTTTTAACATATTACTTTTAGTTTTAACCTACTTAACCTCACTTTGCTTTTTCTTTATATATGCTTCAAATTTAAAAAATTGTTAAATTTATATTGTCCAAATTTGAGCCGAGCAATTCAAATAAAAGGCATTATTTGACATTGAAGTCCTCTCTCAATGCTTAATTACCTTTGAAAATTTGACTTCTTACCATATGGAGGCAGAGAGTAGTTGCATAACTTCTGTTTTTGCATATCTCTCTGCAACAGGAAATTTTTTTTTTTCCTGGTTACGCTATATATATATTGTGAAAACGATCGTCTTCTTCACTGCTCGTGCAATATAACATGGTGTTATGATTGTGCAGGGGGGGAAAAAAAAGAAAAAAGAAAAAACCTTAGCTGCAACAGTGGAAAGCTTGACAGAGAATTCATCATTAACCACACATATAATACGAAGTAGGCTGTCAACATATAAATATATATATATATATATATATATATAAAGCTGCATGCCACAAAATGATTATTATTAAAGATAAGGTTTTTTTTTTAATCTAAGACGACGAATGATTCTTATTGCCATCCCAAAGTTGTATCTCCCACAAGCCTCCAATGGCATTATTTCCCACACCTAATGCCATCTATCTACTTTTCTTTCTCCCACAAATACACTACCCGCAAAATTTAATTTATTATCTATTATACATACACACACACACAGAGCCAAAAAGAAGTATTATTGGAGATATGGGCCCCCCCAGACAACATTAGTATCATAGACAAGGACCTTAATGAAGCCTCTCCTTATCTCTTATGTATATAGGAGTATATATTACCACCACTAGTTTTTAATCTAAGAATATACGATGCCATGATTTTGACTCTGGGATTAATAATGTTTACTTAGCTTAATTAATATAAAGCCATAATTTGAATGTCGGACGTGGCCACTTGCCGAAGAAAGAAAGAAAGAGATAATAAACCTCTCACATGCCTGCTAGGGTTTCTCATTACAAGCTGTGAAATATTTCGATATCTATATATACTCCTCCGGTCCTTATTATAAGACTCCATTTGACTTTTTATTTGATTCTAATTATAAGACCCAATCCATTTTATTTCTTATATTTATGCTTTTTTTTTCCAAGATAATCCTTCTAATAATAATAGTTTTAGCCAATATACTTAATTAACAAGGATATTTTAGGAATGACAACACTTATTTATTATAAATAACCAACTTAACTTACTTCCTTAATCTTCTCAAATAAGTCAATTGGGTCTTATAATTAGGACCGAAGGAGTATATATATATATATATATGCATATACATATACACACAAATGGTTTACTAACATAAATGGGAGCTGAGGAAGAGTAATCTTACAGGTTTGGTTTATTGCAAAAAGAACAAGGGTTGGGAGTTGGGACAGCCTTCACGACAACACATATAAGATGTCTTGCATATATTACCTGTGTACGTTTTCACCAAAATGATATTTATATTTAATGTTTTGGTTACACGTCAGACGTTACAAATTAAGTTCACAAGGGTGTGATACCGAAAGGTAACAAGAAGTCAAGAACAGTTGAACACAGCTTTCTTTCAACATTTCCTGCTTCAGATCAGCTAGCCTCTCACCAACCCCAAATGGGGCAAAAAATGACAGGATTAAGATGATTTATTACAACATATAAACACATATCCTGTGAAAGGGTAACTTAACGTTAAGAATTCAAATAGGATGTTTGAATTGAATTGGAGAAGAAATTTACAAAAAGCAGAGTACTTATTGGGAGTCTCTCAATCGGTGATCATCATGCTGTCCAACAGCCGAAGCACCACCCACAAGCTAAGCTAATGACCATACTATAAGGGGGGAAATCACTAACAGGTCCCACAGAAGACAATTTATTACTCTGAGGTCCCACGAAATGTCAAAATCACTGACAGGTCCCAAGGGACCTCAAAGTAATATTTTCGTTTTGTAAAATGACATTACTGCCCCTCATATTCCAGATTCACATTTGCTCTGTCATTACAATTTACAACCTCAGCAGCGACTATTAACAACCTAATGAGAGGGCGTTAACAACCCTAGCAGTATCCATTAACAACTTACTTTATAGAATTATATAACCTCTACATAAGAGTAAATTATAACCAAATAATATAATACAATAACTTTAACACTAAAATGGGAAGCTTTTTGATATCATTAAGAATTTTAACTAGATCCAATAGGATTATAGTAATATTTTAATGCGAATATCCATTTACAATCTCAACAGCGATTATTAACAACCGAATGAGAGGGCATTAACAACCTAAGTAATAGCCGTTAACAACTTACTTTATAGAATTATATAACCTCCGCATAAGAGTAAATTATAACCAAATAGTATAATACAACAACTTTAATACTAAAATGGGAAGCTTTTTGATATCATTAAGAATTTTAACTAGATTCAATAGGATTATAGTAATATTTTAATGCGAAGATCCATTTATAACCTCAATAGCGACTATTAACAACCGAATGAGAAGGCATTAACAACCTAAGCAGTATCCGTTAACAACTTACTCTATAGAATTATATAACCTCCGCGTAAGAGTAAATTATAACCAAATAGTATAATACAACAACTTTAACATTAAAATTGGAAGCTTTTTGATATCATTAAGAATTTTAACCAAACCCAATAGGATTATAGCAACATTTTAATGCGAAAATCCATTTACAACCTCAACAGTAAGTATTAATAACCTAAGGAGAATTGTTAACAACCTTAGCAGTGTCTGTTAACAACTAATTTTATCGGATAATATAACTTCTAACTATAACTAACTAAACTATAACTAAATAGTCTTAAAGTTAATCTTATATAGTTGTTAGAGGTTATATTATCCTATAAAGTCAATTGTTAATAGATACTGCCTAGATTGTCAACAGCTCTCTTTGGGTTATTAATACTCACCATTGAGGTTGTAAATGGATCTTCGAATTAAAATGTTGCTATAATCATATTGGGTTTAGTTAAAATTCTTAATGATATCAAAAAGCTTTCCATTTTAGTATTAAAGTTATTGTATTATACTATTTGGTTATAATTTACTCTTATGCGGAGGTTATATAATTCTATAAAGTAAGTTGTTAACGGCTACTGCTTAGGTTGTTAATACCCTCTCATTCGGTTGTTAATAATCGCTGTTGAGATTGTAAATGGATATTCGCATTAAAATATTACTATAATCCTATTGGATCTAGTTAAAATTCTTAATGATATCAAAAAGCTTCCCATTTTAGTGTTAAAGTTGTTGTATTATATTATTTGGTTATAATTTACTCTTATGTAGAGGTTATATAATTCTATAAAGTAAGTTGTTAACGAATACTGCTAGGGTTGTTAACGCCCTCTCATTAGGTTGTTAATAGTCGCTGTTGAGGTTGTAAATCGTAATGACAGAGCAAATATGAATCTGGAATATGAGGAGCAGTAATGTCATTTTACAAAATGAAAATATTACTCTGAGGTCCCTTGGGACCTGTCAGTGATTTTGACATTTCGTGGGACCTCAGAGTAATAAATTGTCTTCTGTGGGACCTGTTAGTGATTTTCCTTACTATAAGGTGGGGCCGCCCATCAGATCATAGCCTTCCATCATCAAATACAGCAGGGGCCACTCGTTATCATATCTCTTCTGGTTAGCCCTGCGTATGTATATTCATATGGTACCATAAATGCACAACAAAACAACTGCCTTACTTCTGCAAAACTCCCTCTGTTTCAATCCCCTTTCTGATCACTATCAGCAAGAAGTTCAGACCTATCCCCTTCTTTTTTACCCGGCTTATGGTTTTTGTGTTTTTTCCCCCCTCTGTTTCATTTTCTTTTTCTTTCTTTCTGGTTATAATAATAATAAGAATAAAAAATATAACACGAGTTCTATGTCAGGCTCCACTCATTTCCCCCCAGTCTAACAGTCAAAAGATTTTCTGCCCGCTTTTCCAACCAAATTTTCTTTCTTTGCTTCCAAAACATTTTCTCTCCCTTTCTTGCCTCTCAGGGACTACTACCGCAGATCTTCTTAAAGTCTTTTATGCTTCCAACAAATCGTTTTCCCTGACATGGAAACTGTAAGGCCCAAATCATCGATCAACGAGAGGAGCAAGAAGTTTGCCAAGACGTTTCAGAAGGTCATCGGCCTTCGAACAGCCACGAAAATTGCAGCAAACAATGGCATTTGCTTGCTGGCCACGCAGGCGAGGTTCAAGGAAGATGATTTCACATGTCAGAATCAGAAGAAGAACGAAGATAATAACAGAGCTCGAAACAGAGCAGTTATGGAGGCTCTTATTGCTAGGCTCTTCGCTGGTGTTACTGCTATAAAAGCAGCCTACGCAGAGCTCCAAATGGCTCAGGATCCTTACAATAACGATGCCATTCAAGCGGCTGATCAAGCGATTGTGGACGAGTTAAGAGCTATCTCAGAATTGAAACGTGCTTTCCTGAAGAAAGAGCTTGATCTTTCACCCCAAGTGACTCTGATGCTTGCAGAGATTCAAGAACAGCAGAGCATTATGAAGACTTATGAGATCACCATCAAGAAGCTCGAAGCAGAAGCCGACCATAAAGAACTAGACATTGCTTCGCTTAAAAACCAGCTCCAGGAGCGTCTTGCCTTTAATAAATCACTTGAGAAGAAGCTAAACTCAAGTGGGGCTTTGTCCATGTTCGAAAATCTTCGGTTCTCAGCTTTGAATCCCACCCATTTCATTCAGTTTCTTCACCATACTATAAGATCGGTAAGAAGCTTCGCGAAACTCATGATCAAAGAAATGGAATCTGCTCATTGGGATCTTGAAGCGGCTATTAAATTCATCCACCCAGATGCAGTTTTTGCCAAGCCCAGTCACAAAAGCTTCGCTTTCGAATCCTTCGTCTGCATAACGATGTTTGAAGGCTTTAACTACCCGAACTTCATAGTCCCAAGTGAACCATTTGTAAACAATCAGCCACACCGCCATAGCCCGAAGCTCTACTTCGAAAAATTCAGAAAGCTCAAGTCTTTGAATCCAAAACAATGCATAACCCAAAACCCAAGTTCATCCTTCGCCAAATTCTTAAAGTTTAAGTATCTTCAACTTGTTCATGCCAAAATGGAGTGCTCTCTGTTCAGGAACCTGAACCAGAGGAAGCTGGTGAACTCGGGGGGATTTCCAGATTCTGCTTTCTTCGTGGCATTTGCGGAGATGGCTAAGCGCGTGTGGGAATTACACTCTTTGGCATACTCATTCGATGAAGAAGTCACAGTTTTTCAGGTCAAGAGGAACACTCGATTCTCTGAGGTGTATATGGCATGCGTCGCAGAAGATTCAGTGTTCCCGTCGGCGGAGGCCTCCACCGCAGATGAAGTCGATCTTCGAGTCGGTTTCACGGTGGTTCCCGGTTTCAAGATCGGGAAAACGGTGATACAGAGTCGGGTGTATCTGTCTCCGGTGGTTTCTGCGGCTAGTAGCTGAGACATATTTTGATTGAAGTCGGATTGTACATTTGGTCTGAAGACGCGCCAATTCACACGGTCCGGCATTCATATTCACATTCACATTAGAGTAATACACATATGAAACATATATACACCGTTTACAATTGTCTTTTGCCCTCTTTTAAATTGTCGTTAGAGTAATATCAACTGTAAATTGTCATGTACTATAATGGAGGTATTGTTGCGTCTCCGAGGAACAAGGTCTTTCAGTTAGATGGACATTGGATATATGATTATAATAAATGCTGGTTTACAACTTTACATTGCTTTTTTTGGGTGTCAATTAGCATACTGTAGTTTTATGTTTTTATTTAGTGCCAGTTTTGGCATTTTAGAGTCTCTAGACAACGAATTAAGGGGATTGCAATTGAGAGCTGATTTTTCTGTAAATTTGATTTCGTTTAGTTCATTTGTTGATGAAAGACAATTTCAGTTGTTTTTTTTTTTAATGGATTGCATAGGTAATTAAAAGGTGAAGAACTCATTGCAAACAAAATACCAGAGCTCAAATTTTTTTTAAAAAAAATTGAGAAGAAACATGCTGAATGGTAATCCTATGCAATATCAGGAGAACTCGAGAACTCGAGCTATGAACTTCCCTGATTTCCTCCAGTTAGTGGAAATCGTACACTTCTTCTTCGTTATTTTTTCTGGGATACTTCATAAACCCACGTGTTGAATTGGAGCAGATGCCACGGAGGCACGACAATGATTGATCATGGATGGGGCCCCGGGGGAGGGAGAGAAGGTAGGTGGGCTTAGCCTGCAGTCTTACAATGATGGCTGAGAAGTTCAGAATTAGTAATTACATATCCTTGAAATATTGTGTCGTTTGTATTTTTTATTTCATCATATTATTTTGTTAATTTATTTGATGGAGGTTAAACGACGGATAAAAAAGTATGAAAATCTATTTTACAAAAAATTTGGACTGTGGGGAGTAATAAAGTTGACTAATGGAGGGATAAACATGTTTGAGTGTGGGTGAGGAAAGCTGCGATCATTAAACCAAAGAGAGATAAGCAAAAGGCAAATGAGTATGAAAGTGGAAGAGGAGGGGTTCGGAAATGATAATGCAGGTGATTCTGTGAAGGAGAAATAAAATAGGAAAAAATATATAATTCTTAAAAAAAAAATGAAATAAGTAGATAAAAATTATTGATTTAAACTATTACAAAAATTTAAGATGGTTCAATCTTTGTGGGTAGGTCTGTCTCTGACTGATAGGATCAGAATGGAGGTTCTGAGACTGAGCCTCCTCATCCACATGCATGTTCCTTCTCTGTTTCATTTACGTCACTATTCTCACATGCCAGCTACCACACACACTATTCAATATCCTCTGCTGCTCTCTGAATTCAATTCTCTGTTCCCAAACATATTCCATCTTCACGTACATTAAAATGAAGAAAAACAAAATACTTATAACAAAGAAAAATTACAATCAAGTCCTATACAAGAAAAATAACTATTTAAAGATCAAATAACAACCTGAGCAGTCTGTAATGACAAGTTTTAGAGTAGAGAATAACAACCTTTGATATTTGTTTTGTAATTTTTTTTATATGGAACCTTATTGTAATTCTCTCTTAATGTTTATATGTTACTGGACGTCTTGTGTGTATACATAAGATATAAACTTTACCATCATTCTGTTTTTTTTTACTGTCACTCTTTTTCTCTAAATGCATAAAGGCAGAAACAGGGGAAATGTAATTTCATCCATCTTTGTCTGATTCAGTGGTCATGCTAACCAATTTTTTAAGCCCAGATTCCACGAGAAGTTTAATATGTAGTAAAAGCAAAAGTGGCATGATGATGACGATGATGATTTTGAATGAGGATGATGAATAAGATATTCTTAGCTTGGTCTTCACTCCTAAACCCATTCTTTTTAAGGCAAATCCATCTTCTCTCACCTCTTAAACAGTTTAATCAGTCCTGCTTTTCTCAGAAAAAGCTTAGATCCTGGCCTCCAACTTTGAGCTCTCATTCACATATAGTAATATTTAAAATACGCATCTCTTTAATTAATCTGAGGTCCTGGATGGGATAATATCTATCTGATTTGGATCAATTTGGTTTATGAACAAAGAGGATTCTATAATTGTTAAGTAGTTTTGCCTGCCATGGAGGCAGCAGACAAACAAGCAGTTGGATATTTAAATAACGCAAGCTTTCACATTCATGTGTTTGGAATTGAATCATCATGCTGGGCCAATTGTTCAACCACATTCATGCTGATGGTGGCTGTTATAAATTTAAAAACTACATTCTCTCTAATTATGATATCTTTCATTTATTAGGAGCATTAAATCTGAAACTGCTATTTTTATTCTGTCCGAAGAGGTTTCCCTTTTGGTTTGATTTAGTTCTGCGCCACAAAGCCAGATTGGTTGATGTTTTATCTCAAATTGGTGAGATAATTTTATGTATAATAACAAATATTATCAAAATTGGAAAACATGTAAGTATGTAACTATAAAAATAATACTGCCAAAAAGATTTTGTAATTTATTTTTTTTTAAAAGAAAATCATAATTTATAAAACAAAGTAAAAGTAGATTGAATAATAAAACGTCATTGCCTAGGGTATGTGTGCTGCGCGGTAACAAATATGCGTGAGATGGAATGGGGAAGAACGAAGGAACGAAAAGAAACTAAGAATTAGGCTCACAAAATCTGGATCTATATTTACGATATTATGCAAGGTAAATAAATGCTCTTACAAAATGGGCCTAAGCCCAGGCCCACAAAATTTGGGGGTGACGGAACAAACTCAGACCGCAAGTTACTCGCCAAAGAGAAAAGGACAAAATTATTTACAATGGCCCATGCAGGTTTCGAACCTGCGACCTTCGCGTTATTAGCACGACGCTCTAACCAACTGAGCTAATAGGCCAGTTGATGTCATGTTATTTTATTTGTTAGATATACTAAGAACTAGTACGCCAGTTTCGACTCCAGAATCACGAGCTGACAGAAACAGAAACGCGCGAATGCAGAGCTCAATTCAATGGCGGGTTTGGTTGAAAGGGAATGGACCTCAATTAAATGTGACTGAGTTTGTACTTGGAGATACGAGATTCGAGAATATAATTACTTTTACAACTCCCTAAAATGGAAGAAAACGGGCTAATATTCAACTGAAGAAGATATATATGTATGTACAAGAGTGAAGCGAGCCTTTTGTGATTGAAGACATACATTTGCGAATGTGGCTTCCTGCTTCCCAGATCCGGATCTTGTGGAATCAACAAATGAGACTTCGTGTTATATAACTCATTACACTTTGAAAGAATTTCTCTATCTTTCAGATTGATCTTGTAAATCCTCTTTCATAGGGATTATATTCTTGTATTTATATAGCTCCTTTTGAATGAAATCGCCCCTTTTATATATTAAAAAAAAAAATGTGTGCCTGACTTTAGTGCAAACTTGTCAGCACAATTATTATTGACTGTTTAGAAGTGTGATAGTTTAGAGGATGTAAACGGATAGATTTCAAAATAACTTTTCACCCAATAAACTTAAAATCGTATTGTCATTTAATTTCTAGTATAGTTGGATATTAAATAGAATTAGTTAATTTCCCTTGCAGTTAAAACATGATGTTAACAATTAGAAGAATTAAGAGCCCTTGTCGGGATGCATGTAGGATAAAATAAATATGAAAAAAATTACTGTATATATAGAACAAATTTTGAAACAAAATTAGCATAAAATTAAGTAATGCAAAAGAGAGTTTAGCTACCCGCCGTAATAACGTTACAGATAGTGAAAAAAAATCACATTAGAGCTTTAAGTTTAAGATCTGTATATAGAAAGGGGACAGCTTTTGTTAGACACATGCTGTCGTTGGTTTAAGACCAATAGTGTCTGTGAGAGTTATGCTTTTAGGCGACAAAATCACAAACATGGCTTCACCGTTGAGAGTGTAGTGTGGACACTTCTGATTTCTGAAGGAAGGGCGGTTTTGTGGAGCCCTTCTGCTGCTTTTAAAATCACGAAACACAGTTCTCTTCTTCGCTTTGCTTGTTACATCATACTGCAAATTTTTTTAATGAAAAAAAAAAGTTACTTTCCACCAACACATCATATTGTTCACAGCTTTCTGCATCCAAAATATAAAAACAACGAAAAAAAAGCAAAGATGTTCTCCCGGGTAGCTATATTCCAAATGCGCCCTCTTATTCTTAAAAGATCATAGACTCACAAACTCACAGAAACATAATTATTAAACCAGAAGAAACCAAAGGCAAGCACTGTGTAAGTATATGTGTATGTGTATAAGAAATGAATTCAATGGCGCCTTTGGTTGCAATGAAGTGCATAATTTGGTTGTTGATGGCCTCTGTGGCTTGGACCTGAGGGCGGGACACGACCCTTTACCAGAACATGAAAATTGGCTTCACCTGCAGACTCTACAGAAACTCCGCTGCTTCCATGGTATCGAACTGCAGAAACTTTTGCCGCCGTTAACATCACGAGTACAACACAGCAGAGAAACAAAGGTTTGGCAATGGCACCTGCTATGGCAGCCATATTCGTCTTTCTTTGTTTCTCTTTTTGTGTATTTAGGCACAAGGAAACTATATATGTGTGTGTGTGTGTGTGTGTGGGCGCTCTCTCTCTCTATATATACACAAGTGTGAATGGGTTTGTAACTTAGAGATACATCAACATTGAGATACGGGAATTACTTTTGCAAGTCCCTAAAATGGAAGAAGAAGAAATGGTATTCAAATGAAAAAGAGATACAAGTTGAAGGAGCTTTTATGAGTGTAATTTGTGCGATTGAAGACATATTTGCGGAAACAAAGGCTCCCACTCTCACCGGCTGAACCTTTTTTCAAGGTTCTTATTTTCTTTGCCAATTTGTCAAGCAAAGCATAAGCATGTGCACGTCTCTGACTTTAGTGCTATACTATATATACTTACTGCCTTTAGAAAATTATTGGGACATTTGCAATTGTTAGATGTTAGCATGCATGAACCCAAGTTGTTAATTAACGAAGTTGATTGATTGTTTAGATGTGGGATGATTTAGAAGATGCAAATGTAGATATTACTATTTTCTATTAATTTGACATCTATTATCAGGTTAGTTATTAATTTCACTAGCACTTTAGCAGTCCAAAATCTACATTGATGTTGCAGGTAGAAGAAATTAATTAAGAATCCTTGTAGGGACGGATAACAAAACAGATATAGGGGGGGAAAAAAATAAAAAATATACTTTTAGTCTGCTAATTTTATTACAAAATTTTAATTTCGTCTCCTAGTTTTACAAAGCATGTACTTTTAGTCATGTAAAAAGTTATATAATAATTTTTTGTACTAATCATTATTATTTGGAAAAAATTAATCTTAATATATTACTAGTATTAAAAAATATTTTATCAAAATTTAAGATTTTAATGTTGACATTTTTTTATGACACTCCACTTTATGCAATTAAAAAACCAAAATAAAATCTCGTGTACGGTTAAAAGACAGATATGCATTTTTAGTTTTAATACACACACACACACATACGAAACAAAATTAAAACAGGATTAACATAAAAGTAAGTAATGGAAAAATGGAAATTAAAAGATGTCGCCGACCGCCATAATAATGTTATAGATCACAAAGGAGCTCGCGTTGTATGAAACATTTATGGCGCTTTGGCTAATCTCATCAAATAATCCTTAATTAAAAAAGAAGACAAAATTAAGACCAAGGACCGACTACATCCAATCATAATTATATAGTGGAAGAATTAAAGTTATAACAACTTCTGTATGGCGTGGGTAGGTGGAACGAAGAATTGAAGAAAAAGGAGAGGAAAATGATTTTTTTCAAAAGAATAAGACAAAAATTGAGAAAGTTCGAGGAAGGATCATGGAAATGGATGCCACATTTGACTTGAACGTTCAATGGAGAAGTAATTATTATTATTATTATGAGCAAAAGAAATTAAGGAAATATTGATGTCACGAGCTTAGAAAATTCTTAAAGCCAACAACACCAAGGAATTGAAAAAAGAGATATCTATCACTTCTGACTGGCATGCATTAGCGGAGCCAGTTTTTTTTTTTTTTTTTTAAAGGCAGTTTCTTTCCCACACTTTTCATTTTCTTCACCTCTACGTCATAGCTCAAGTGTAAGATCTAAAGTGAATGAATCAGAATTTATGTCTTATAAAAATATTGTCAGAATAAAAAATTAGAATTATTAAATTTGAAGTTTTGAACCATTCACTGCAACTTTGACGCTTCAAGTAAATCGCAGGGAGAAAAACCCGCTGGGGGTAAAAATTTTTGAACGATGTTGTCATCAAATTTTTTTATATTCATGTACATGATTATGTGTCATATTTCTAAAATATTAATATTTAATTATAAATTTATATGAAACAAAAAAGAAACACATAATGATATATGATTGGAGAATTTGACATAATAGACACAAGAAACTTGACATAAGATTTTTACAATACATTGTTAAATATAACCACCATTTGATTTTCCTTTAAACATGTATCATAACACCGCTTTTAAAGGCAATGAAACTGCATTTATATTAATCTCAAAGTCAACGATAGATCGAGACTTTTAAGGATTTTCATAATGGTAGTTAATTATGATCTCCTAAAACTTGAAAGAGTATTTTGTGACAAGCACTTGCTAACCACTCTAGACTCCAATAAGGGTTTCTTAAGATCACTTGGTCCACTTGGGAGAGGTTAATGGCCACAAAAAGCTATGCTTATCTCATATGATTATATCAACGCAATTCATTTAACCTGCAGGGATAGAAACTTCTACTAATTGGGAGCAGCCAAACTGGCATATATATTACATTCCAAATGATATAGGTACATATTCGCTTATAAAAAAACAACTATCAAAATCATATACTTCAAAATATTAGTTAAAAATAATAAATGTATTAGATATATACATATTTCTTCAATTGCACCATTATTTGAAAAGAGAGCATATGAAAGATAACGAGTGAGAGTTTATTGTAAATAAATAATAAGTAACGTATATTAAAAAACTAGTTTAAAATTTCAAACAACAGGAATTTATTTTTTATATTTAGAGACAGATTATCTATTATAAGAAGAGACAAAGGTATAAAAATAACAGAGAGAGACGAAGGGAGTATAAAAGAAGATATTGAATGGTGAAAATTTAGCAGACTTCCCTCTGGATAGTTTTCTTAAAGTTGCAGCTGCAATTTAGATGGCAGGAACACGGCTTTCCATCGTTCCAATGATCCACGCTATACCTACTAATCAGCAGCACCAAACACTAATTTTAATTAAAGGTAACAAGAAAGAAGTCAAAGCTATTATTACATTATACAAATATATATCTAGTAATTAAATAGTACTCCTCCGGTCCTTAATATAGGACCCAATTGGTGAGTTGGCTTTGGTCCTAAATATAAGATCCATTTCTCATATTTATCAATTATCTCTAAATTACCCCTATGGATACCCTTTCAACCATAATCAAGTAGAAGAAAAAGACGAGGTATTAAGAAATATGATTATGGTATTTTAGGAAAAACGTGTTATATTTCTTATAATTAACTAACTTACCTAACTTCTTTAATCTAATCAAATTAGTTAAATGGGTCTTATATTAAGGACCGGAGGAGTATATACTATACATCATTGAATATATATAGCAATAGGATAGCTTTTTAAGTTGTTAGATGCGTGCATATATTGTTGGTGGTGGTGGTGTGAGAGAGTTAGGCTTTAAGGCGACAGCAAAATCAGAAACAGGGCTTCACTGTTGATAGTGTGGAGTGAGCAGTGAACACCACTTTGGAGGGAAGGACGGTTTTGTGGAGCCCTTATGCTGCTAACCTCATTCTTGACGCTTTGGTCGATCTTTTTCCTTACGTTTCTCTCTTCCCTTTTCCTTCATCTCTCTTCATATATATACACTTTAATATTTATCATCCTTTTTTATTTGTCTAGTTGCAGGGCTTAGCGCCCTCCAATAGGAGTCCACGTCCGTCGTGCCTCGCGTTTTTTTTTTGATTTAGACCGATGTGATGCATCGGCAAAGCCAATGAATTATATTCAAACTCTACCAGCTGCTCACTCCAATAGTCTAATTTCTCGCGTGGGGGAGTAGAATACCATGCAAATACAAATACGTAACTCAATAATCGACCAATTTATCTTGGATTATATATTGACCCAATTTAATTAATTTAATCACTATCACCATCTCTATCATTCAAATTGATTATTTGCGGACAAAGTTTATGTTTGATATCTAACATTATTTACTGTATACTACTTCGTCCCTTATTATAAGATCTTTTTAACTAAATTATGCAGTTTAAAAAAATAATAAAAATTAGTTAAAAGCAATTAATATATAGCAAATACAATTTTTTTTTAAATATACCCCTATATATAAATGGGTATATGTAAAAGAGTAATAGTGAGATAAATGAAGAAAGAGAATATATTAAATGCATTAAACTAGGGGTAAAATAGGTAACAATACATTAAATATTCAGACAAACTCAAAAAGATCTTATAAAAAGGGATAAACCTATTAAAAAAAAAGATCTTATAATAAGAAATAGAGAGAGTAGTAGTATTGTCTAAGCATGTGCGTGCTGTATAGTTTCGTGCCTCGTTAAAACAGAATGTACATCCAAAATATGATACTTATATATGAGGCGTCTTTTGAGGCGTCTATTATCAACTTGCAAGCTGCAACTTACATTCTCACCCCCAAGTATGAGTGGCAGTTAAAAAAACAAAATGAAAAGAACATCCTCACGATTAATTATTATCAAATAGGAGGACTTAAATAGCAATAATTCATTGGTCCACTTATTGTAAATTTTGAATAAAAAATATTAAACTCATATATATATATATATCTTTTTATAAGGGTCTGATGAAAAATATGTGATAAAACTTTTTCTAACGCTTGATGCTTAATGACCATGTGTAGCTCTAACAGACTTGCCTCTGTTAAAATCTCTCTAAGATAGGCATATGAACATTAATTAGTGTAATCATTAATCAACATATACATACATGTGTGTATATGAATTTTGAGGTTCGTGAAGAATGTAGTAATCCCTCCGGTCCCATTAATGGGTCTTATATTTAGGACCGGAAGATTACTATTTAGTCAAAGGCCCCATGTACAAGGGATGGATCCAAAATTTGTTCCAGACCGTTGTATGAAAGTGATCAGATGTTAGAAGTATGCTCTTTACATCGGATGTCGCATATTATATTCGCATCTGATCTCCATACACCGATAGAATTTTACAATAATGCACCCTTAAAATCCGGGATAAAAATAACAATATTTGGGATAACATGTAAGCCATTGTTTTTGTTGTTAGTTTATTAAGAAAGACAAACACATGTAAGTTGAAGAAAAGAGAGCATCCGATGTTGTGTTGAATTTAAAGAGGAGCCATGTTACTTCTAGTCCAAGTAGAAGACACGGAAGTCAACACGTACCAGCTCCCACGTTGACCCATACTTCCCATTCCTGTTTTTTCCAAAAAAAAAAAAAACTGATGTGTTGGCATGTACTATTTTCACAAAATATAAGTCATATCTACCCATCATATTTTATGCTTATATATTTTATATTATATATATATACTAATGAAACTCTGAAACCCACTATAAACATGCAAGGAATAGTATAATTTACATTCGATGGTGATCCCTTCAACAAACAAGCCCGGTCTTAGACGCGTTTCGTCTTTCTTACGCTAAAGCTAAACTAACGAATGTGTGTGTACGTGTTGTAATCTTTCCAATTTCATCCAGCGATGCCCTCCTTTCTTGCTCTGCAATCATAACATTGAAAATACACACCCACTTTACTTTCCAAAAAAATGGTGGGTATCATTCCACGAATCCAAAGGCTGCTTTTATTCAGATTCGTTAGTATATCATGGGGATGATCTCAAAAGTTCTTCCCTTTTTAATTAAAATGAAGATTATTGCTTGCAGAAAGTATATCTCCTTTATGAAACCACCTTGATATCAAGCTGACCAGATTTTTGAGAATCCCTCTGTTCCCGGAAAGACCAATAACGACTCATGCAAAAGTTTGCATCCTTGCCAAGACATAAATCCGAGGATGTGGGATTCAAAACCGTACCCTGCTAATATGCTTATCTAATTTAGTCATAATCTAAAAGGGAATGATTACAGATAGTCCCGACACAGAGACCAATATATACTAGCTTTACATAGGTGCATACATCTAGCTAATTCTCATTCATTCTCTGCAATACATGGAAGGAATTCAAATTTGTCACAAAATTGAACAAATTAAAAAATGCGGTGAGGAGCGAAAAGGAGGGAGAAGGGGAAGCTAGTGACCAGCGCCGGGGCTAGGAACAGAGCGCAGAAGTCGATCCATGACTATAAGATGACGAGCAACGAGTTTCTCGTCGACCACCGCGGCGTGCCCTTTTTTGCTGGGCGTAGAGGACGGCACCGTGCCCTTGGGAAGGGCACTCAGAAACAAACTGTCCCTCGACGGTGGAGTAACAATGGGGCGGCTCCTCTGTCCACCAACGCGCAGCTTTCTTGCTTCGGAAAAGGAACAGAATGAAGCAGAGAGAACAGAGAAGATGAGCAGAAAAGTGAAGAAGCGAGCCATTGAAGGAAGAGGGGTTCTGCGGTGATGTAGCAGAAGGTGAAGAGGGAAGAAGGGGTATATATAAAAGGAGGAGCGTGGGGAAGAAGTCATGGGAGTCAGAGGAGGATGGTGGAATGGGAGGAAAAGGACTGATGAGTGAGGAAGAGACGTGGAGTGAGTGTTCTGTGAGTTAATGTGAAAGATGAGACATGCAGTAGATTTAATCTAAGTCGAAAGTTTGAAATTAAGGGAGCATTTGATTGGGTGTGGGAAAAAAATGGGAATAAGGAGCAGTTTTGAGTAGGCAAGTGAGGGATAAAGGGTTGCCGCGTGGGGGATAAAATTAGAAAAGTTCGGTACGAGAGCATGAGCTCATAGCTTTTGGCGTCGGCGCTCATTCATTTTGGTCATTTCCCATCCTTTTCCTCATCTTTCCCCTCCACCGCCATCGCCTCCCTTTCTTCCTTCCATCTTTCTTTCTTGGTCATCAAGTTATTCAATTTCTTACTAATTCATCACCTCTTAATTTTGTTTCGAACCTGAGATGATGAGTTGAGCATAAAGATATACTCGTAATAAAAGGTTGCACGTAAATAAATTATCACTTCCGACCCTAATCGGAGATAGTATATATATTTCGGGGGATTCTTTTTTTATTAATTTAGGAAAAAAAATGAATGAGTATTTTGGTAGCATAAAGCAATATAATAATAATGGTTGGAGTATATAGGAGTTAATGAAGCAGCAGACAGAATTTCGCCTCCTTGGAGGGTCGTGGTTGGTAAGTCAAAGTTGGTAAGCAAGGATCAAAGTAAGGTCCTTTCAGAAATGGTCGGCGCTCTCAAACAGGAATTCATTAATTAAATGCATGTTCCTTTTTATACAGTCACTCGAGTTATCAAAATCAAACTACTCTTCCAGTTCTAAATATAAGAGCCTTATACACACTAGTATGAAAGTCTTATATTTAGGACAGGAGGAGTACTGCTACTCGTACGAATCCTACTTGACCATTAACATCTCATTCCTCAACATTTTTTTCCCCAGCGTATGTAGCCTTAATTTATTGATTAATGATTACTACGATTGACATCTATATACCACTCTGGTAGTAGCGGATCCAAGATATTATATTTTTACCATGTTTCATCGAAAAAGTCTTAAATTTTATGTGTCATGTGTCATCTGTATACATGCAAATACAAGTGATGAAGCGAATATGCTTAGGTGGGAGGTCAAAGATATAATCACCGCACCTAACTTTTGTAAGGTTCTTTTTATTATTCGCAGTTAAGAACAGTGATGACTGCGTGATGAAAAGCGGTGAGATCAATTAATAACGTGGTAAAAATGGTATAGGATTCTCCGACTAGAGTACTTAGCACAAACATCATTCATCATGTTTTGGCAAAAAGGCATAGCTTCGTCGTCCTCTCTACAATTTTGACTCAACCTGAACGCGCGTTACGCCTTAACTACTTGATCATTTCCTTCATAAGCATCCTCTTAATTTACGGCAAGATAAAAGTAAAAAAAAGAGATTGAAAAGATATTTCATATATTCCTTTGTTACTCCCACAATCTGAGATTTTTTGCATTCTTTTTTCTCTCTTACCTAAGTACGTAATTCCATTTTGCCTCGTACTTGTACGCCGGTTTTAACCATGTCATGGGGCGACCATCGCAACATTTAAAATATAGTACTGATTGAATAATGTCGTGTTGATTATTTATCAGTTGATATGGTGTGGAATTGAGAATGGAGCGGCTAACGCAACATGATTCTCCAAGCAGAGGACAGTGATGAAGTGTAGAGCATGACATTACATATATAAATATGTACGGAGAATGTATCACTAGAATGTATAATATAATGATGAGTGAATAATGGAGGACATACAAGTGGGGATCAAGTAAGTTGGTAAGTAATTGCTGCCTTTGGATATTAATATGAAATTGGGAGATGAGGATATTTATAACTGGAAGTGTAGGGGGGAGGGGGGGGTGTTGTTGAAAAGGGTTACACAAAGCCCTTCAACCATTCCCATATGTCGTCTCCTCAGGTGTTTCCCTTCGGACATTGCTCCCCTAATTTACCCCTCTCTCTCTCTTACTTTATTTCCCCAAATCTCTCCTCTTTGTCTTCCTCGTGCCCTCTCATCAACTTCCACTGTGCAATCAGCCCTATCTAAACATTGACCCATCTTTAACAAAGATACCACCGCATTCACACACCCCACAATTTGTGTTCTTTGACTCAAGCTCAACACTCACTGTTTTCTAATTATTCTTTCGCCCTAATTAATTCCAACAAAATGGATCGGATCGCGCGCGCGCACACACAGCCGAGTTGCCAATGCCACCTGCGGCCCATAATTCAGTTAAGATCACAAAACTCCACTTTTTAATACTAATTATATTGATAGTTTCCTCGCTCGCCAACGTGTCGCGTTTGTAGTCCAACGGTTAGGATAACTGCCTTCCAAGCAGTAGACCCGGGTTCGACTCCCGGCAAACGCATTTCCTGTGCCTTTAATTTTTTTTTCCTCTCGCTGGGGACCAAAAACCCATGTTGAGGATAGGATGAGGGCAGCGAATCGCGGACGGCGGGACATCTGGTGCATTGCAGGGAATTAAGATAGAGATGATCATCTTTCTTATCAGCCGATACTAAAACTAATCCAAATACTGTTAACACCTACGATTTGGGAGGAGATTCTAGATCACATGAGAACAGGAATGGAAAAATTAGATAAATTTTTTAGACATGAGCTTGAAATTTCTCTGAAAGTGACAACGCTTGGCTATGTGCCTATGTGGCTTATACTTAGCCCCCCATGTAAAAAATATCATCAGATCACTTTCCACCAAATCGCCATTACTCTCTCCTTACTCGTACGTGCAAGATGGAGTGGTACTCAACCAGTCTGTCATCGCCTTCCTCGTCCTCCCTCCTTAATCTTCGGGTAAATTCTCGGTTCCATGCCCAATGCTTCGTGTTCCTATGAACTTCTGGGATAATTCATCTGATAATGTGCTGTACTCTTTAAAAAAAAAAAGAAGAACGAAGCAAGCGAAGAGCACAAACGAGAATTGTTACGAGTTAAAGAAACAAGGTCTTTAAAAATTTTCACTTTGGTATAATTGGACTCAACTTATTGCTAATCAGAAGGAATTGCCTTTGTGCGTTTTAGTGTGTGAAATGTTCATGGGCAGAATACTTTGAATATGGAATCTTTATAGAAGACTGTTTGTTTATGATTGTTGTTATTTAATTATTTTCCCTCATTGTTCTGTGATTTATAATTTTCGAGGACATTAATTGGGATTTTTTTCCAACGTTCGCTGGTTCCCAATTTTCATCTTTTGTTTAAAGGCCGTAATGGCTGCGTGTAAGTGAATCCAGAATTTATCCGTGAAGCTTCATGTATGGGAGCATATTTATCTGTGCATGCCATTTTAGCTTCCATTTTACCAAAATTCCTTCTCGCTGCAGGGCTCTGCATTAACTAGAAGAAAGTTCTGTAAGAAATTTCCACATCCTTGTTTGTCATCATCCAGACTTCCCAAACCCTTTCTTCAAGTTCATCATAAAGCCCAGACCTTGATTCATCAACAAACTCCGGCCAATCTCACGTCCAAAACTTATAGAGCAACCATATCTGCTGAAGCTGGAAAACAAGGTTGGGATATTGGCAGATTCATAAAAACACTATACTTTTTCAATGGACCCCCTTCTCCTGCTAAGGTTTGGCAGCATTGATGCAATTTTGGACTAGTATGAGTTTTAAAAAAATGTGTCAACGATCAACTAATGAGTATTAATCATTTCTGAATTGTGAAGTTTTTTGACTTTCTAGTTGAGAAACTATCGGGTCCTTCCCCAAGTAAACCGGTTAAGTCCATGGAGAATTCTGATATTGTCCTGGTAGCTGGAGCTACTGGTGGTGTTGGTCGAAGGGTGGTTGACATATTGCGAAAGAAAGGAATTCCAGTTCGAGTATTGGTATTGCCATTTACTTGCCTACAAGTTTTTGCTTCAAGTAACTAGAGCTTAAGGAGAAAATGAAGGAAAAATTGCAAAAATTATGATCCAGTACTTCAGTTAACACTTCAATGCTCAATAAAAGTTTCTCAAATCCATATGATAATTTCTCAGGTTCGAAATGAAGAGAAGGCAAGAAGGATGCTAGGCTCAGACATTGACTTGGTGAGTTGTCTAACTGATGCATTAAAACAAATTCCCTCATCAGATTTGCTTACTAAAAATTGTGAGTTTAGCTTCCTGATTATCATTTAGTTGACTACAATGTCAATATGCCTAATAATGACAGATCCAATGGTAATAGAAGTTTGTTGCTGTCTTGGGAATATGTGTTTATATAGGAAGAGATCATAACTTGATTTCAAGTCGTCTATATTATCTTTCTTGCATTTGATAGGGAGACTCACCTAATTTTCAAAGCTTATGATGGAAGATAATCATATATTATTTTCAGTTTATTGCTGCTTATGGTGTATTATATCAACCATTATTTTTTTATCTTTCTTGTCGCTTGCTTCCTTTGCTGTCAACTGACCATCTGCCAAAACCAAGATTGTTGGAGACATTACAAAAGAGAGCACTTTGGTTCCTGAGTACTTCAAAGGAGTGAAGAAAGTAATAAATGCTGTTTCTGTCATTGTTGGTCCTAAGGAAGGGGACACTCCAGATAGGGCAAAATACAGCCAAGTATGTTCTGTATCTCCATTGAGATTATAGAAATCTAATATTGCTTACACGCAAAGCCACACTAATCTATTGCAGACATTGCCATGTTGACTTTTGATCAGCCTGTGACTCTTCTCATTTGTAAAATTTATATGCTTGTCTACTGCTTACTTCATAATTTTTCTCCCTAATGAAATGAATTTGTCTTTAATGCAGGGAATTAAGTTCTTTGAGCCAGAGGTAGTGGAATGATCTGGCTTCCTCCCTATGCAATATCTAGAACGAGATTTTCTTTTTCTTTTCTTGGTATGCTAGTCTATGATATAAATTCTGGAAACCTTTCGTACTTAGTTAATGATTGTTGAAAGCAGATCAAAGGTGATCCACCAGAGTTGGTGGAGTATGTGGGGATGAAGAACTTGATAAATGCTGTGAAGGAGAATGTTGGACTTCAAAGGGGAAAACCATTATTTGGCTTTGAAGGTAGGTTCCTTTTTAAAAAAAAAAAAATTTCAAAACAGTTGACTGTGATTGATTGCAGTTGTTAACTGATTGACATAGTCTACAACGTACTTATAATAGTCACTCTAAACATGTGTTCTTAAAGCATGAGAAAGGGACCATGTAAAAGCTGAATGGGGGAACATATCATAATACTTCAGCTTACATGACACATGCCACATGAAGCAAATAGAAACAAGGAAAGAGATTAATATGCCGATGAGCTTAGAAATGAGTTTGATTATTCAAGTTGTAGGAAGACAATAACTCAAATATTGACTCGTTTGTTAGCTTGCAGCTAGTTGCAGTAGTCTCCTGAAGTAAAAGAATCTATAAATCGCAAGACCATCTGTTTTATGGGATGGTTTTGTGCATGCAACATGCTGTACTGCACAAATACATCTGATTACTAGATGGTGGAGGGAAAGAAAACTTATTAGAGCTCAATATCGGATACTCAAATAGTCAAATGCATCATGTGATTAGTAATATTTTATTCTTTTTATCTTTCATTTGGTACTTTGCTTAACAGGAGACAATTATAGGCAGCTACCTTGGGGTGCTCTAGATGATGTTGTAATGGGTGGAGTCAGTGAAAGCACTTTCCAAATTGACCCAACCGGTGGTGAAAATGGTGGACCAACTGGGGTCTTCAAAGGTTTGTGTCAACGCCTTGCATGTGCATCTGTATGTTTTTTGGAAGGTGGTAATAGGTCCTCTGTGTTGGGGTTCTCAAACTAACATAATTCTGTTTCTGGTGCAGGTGTTGTTTCAACAGCAAACAATGGTGGCTTTACCAGTATCAGAACTAAGGTAAACTACGGGAAGAAAAACAGTTCAAAATTCCCCGGCAGGGGCATAGTCTTTGCTACCTGATTCTGAATCTGGACCATTTAGCATTTCTTACATATTGAACTACTTTTTTTTTTCAAATAAATAAATAAATATATCATACAAAAATATATTATCCATAACTATTTCTTTTTTACCTCTTACATCAAGAGGCTTTATTCATTTACCCATACCCCTCTTCATCCTCACCATCTGAACCAACATTCTGAACTACTTCTTCTCGTACTTTATTTAGATGACTGTAGCATGCCATCTTTCAAAATCTAAATTAACATTTCTGCCCATGACCACGAGTTCGTTCAATCACAGCTCTAACTTCTTTCTATCCTAACCATGTAAGCAGTTAATTTTACTAAAGAATGCTTAGTCAAATAATAAATTTTCAGAATTTCTCAGAACCTGAGAACCTTTCTGCATATGATGGTTTGGAGCTCCGTCTTAAAGGTGATGGCCGTAGATATAAACTCATTGTTCGTACAAGCCGTGATTGGGACACTGTTGGTTACACTGCAGGCTTTGACACTGTGGAAGGCGAATGGCAATCAGTAAATAACATCTCATGCATTTCTCGCAGTTTACAGGTCTAATACATTATCTAATTATGACTCATAAGGTTGTTGTTTTTCATTAATCTTTTACAGATACAATTGCCTTTTTCTTCTTTAAGACCTGTGTTTCGAGCAAGAACTGTCTCAGATGCACCACCATTTGATCCAAGCAACATCATATCATTGCAGGCATGCCTCTGCCGTTAGTATTTCTGTTTGTTCGTCATTGTAATGATGTTGCACGAAGGTTCTTAATTATGGTTCAAAATTCTTTGCAGCTGATGTTCAGCAAGTTTGAATATGATGGTAAATTAAATCGAACATTTAAGGAAGGTCCTTTTGAGCTTCCTGTGTCAAGCATACGGGCATATATGGAGGATCCAGTAACACCCAGGTACAACTTTATATTTTTATTTTTATCTTCTTTCTTTATCTGTCAAATCTTTTAGTTTACAATATCTTGTGTCACATGTAGATTTGTACATGTCGGCTCAGCGGGAGTTACCAGACCCGAAAGGCCTGGACTTGATCTGACTAAACAGCCTCCTGCTGTTCGATTAAACAAAGAACTGGGTTTTATCCTCACATTTAAACTGAAGGTACAAAGTTGATCTTTGCATCCTGTTTAGTGAAAATAAATAATTAATTTTCTAGGCCTCCGATGTAGCTCTTCAACTGTATGATACTGCTTGATGTCTCTTATAATTTGCAAAAATATGAGCTTTGTGTGGCTTTTGGTCTGGAAAACTTGTTTTGTTTGTCTGCAAAAATCGATTTTGATATAAAACTTGAAACTATATTGAACATCACATTATTAGTGGTAGCCCTTGGAAAATCCTTGCTATTCCCTTTTAGTAAAAATGTTTATCCCTTATTTAGTTTCGTCTTCTTGAATTTTCACACTTTAAAATTATGAGATAATACTGGGGACAAAAGAGGCAGTTATTACAATTGAACGACTTGTTAAAATTATGAGAAATTAAAAGGATGATATTTACCTCTAAGGAGAAAACAAGAATCCTAAGAAGAGTACTTGTTGGGAGGGTTATTCCTTAACCGCTCCCGGTCCAAAAAGGATTAGTCTTTAAGTCCAATGTGACTTGAGGATACCCTAGCTCCACCTTAAAAAAAAGGATGATATTTAAACTATGCTTCGAACTTTGAAAAATTTATAAAGATTTAATTAGAGAGAGTGGCATACCTCAATCTGTAAATGAATGTTCTCGGAATGTTGCTGCCTCTATCATATTTGGGAGGAGATGGCCTGTTCTTATATTACTGTCCAATAGCATTTGCTGATTTTCTGTAGCTTAGGTGTATGCTTCCTCCTTTACTGACAGTGTAAAATGTTACAAATTTCAATAGGGGGAGGATTTAATTAGAGAGAGTGGCATACCCTATGCAATTGTGAGGCCTTGTGCGTTGACTGAAGAACCTGCTGGAGCTGATCTAATATTTGATCAAGGAGATAATATTACGGTATTGTGAAAACAAAAGTTGGATAATATTTACTATTTACTTTCTGTTGCTCTTGGTTAAACAAATTTGCTATAAAATTTTCCCAGACGCTTTATTTCTGTAATTAATTACTAGCCTGACCTATTTCATATCATGAACTTGTTGCATAAAATTATAGGGCAAAGTATCAAGGGAAGAGGTTGCCCGTATATGTGTGGCTGCGCTGGAAAGCCCTTTTGCATGCAACAAAACGTTTGAGGTCAGCCTTCTTTGCGCTTGATCTATTCCATAGTGTATATTCATATCTATGTATATTTCTTTTTTAAATGCAGTGTGAACATGTACGATTTTAAACTTTTAGGCTGGGGTTAAGTGCAAAATAGTAAAGTACATTTTACTACGAAGTAGGATTATGAACTTTTGTGCTTTAAGAAGGCCATGCAACTATTCATATTATCGGGATAACCTGTACTAGTGCCGGTGAACTTTAATTTTATCTTCACTTCATGGCCTTTTGTCCTAAGTGGGAAACGAAAAATGAGTTCTGAAGTGCTTGTCGTTGTTCAATTTTGAGTTCAATTTCCCCCCTCACAACGTGGATTTAAGTAAGATGATTGTGGTCTGTGGAAGGATTCCAGGCGTCACCATGGATGTTTCTATTTGCTGCAGGTTAAAAGTACTGTTCCATTTAGCGAGCCATTCACAGTCGATCCCGCGAATCCCCCTCCAGAAAAGGACTACAACGAATATTTCAAAAATTTGAAAGAAGGCATCACTGGAAAAGAAGCCCTTGAACAGCAAAGTCCTGTTCCAGTTTAATTTTCCTGCTTGGCAGTCCACTGTCGGTGGCAGATGTGGAATATGAATCTGCTGATTCAGAGCCGATCAAGTTTGACATAAATTTTACCATAGGACATGTCCCGTGTCTGTATATTCTTTGTTTTAAACGTGTCTGCCTTTTTTCTGTTGGCCCTAAAGCAGATGAGAGCCCCAGAAAAATTACAGTTAATAAGACATACATGGAATCTGGTTCATCTTTGGACTATCTCAGGACGAACGTCAGTATGGTTGTTGTTTCATGGGAGTTTGTCGGATAATTACGACATTGATTTTGTTTCTGTTCTCTAGAATCATCATACTATTTATCCGGTCGGCATGCCGTATGGTTCAGATTTTGTTTTTATTTCATGTCAGTATCTGCCTTTATTGCTACTCCTACAACATATGACAAAATGATTCGATCCAATCAACAAATCTGTGATTTTTTTTTTTGGTAAATAATTAGGAATATCCTTTTGTTTGTTGGAAAATCCGTTGGCTTTTGTTACCTCGAATTCATACCTCCTGTAAGTCAACATCGCGACGGTTTTTTTTTTTAAACCCAAATTCAAGTCCCAACTCCCGAGTATCATGACAATCCCAGTGAATTTGATTATATATATTTTAGATGGGGAAAAAAAATTCTTCTCGCAGTAATTTTGATAAATATGTTGGGATTACTTAATCCTGCATGCCAATCAAAGAAGACTGTCAATTATAGATAGTGTAACTCATTGGCTATTTGTACAGGGAAGTTGGAATTTCAACGTCCAATTGGAAGGACATCGACATTTAATAATTGCTGTCTTCTTGCTTGTACTATCCTCGGATTCTGCTGCTTCAATCATCAATGCCTCTAAGCTCATACTCCAATCAAGGACTTCCCCCAGTTTTCGAAGCCGTTAGCACATAAAACATCAGTGAAGTGGTGCAAATCTACCGTTTCCCCTTTAATTAGGGAGCAACGTAAAGATCATGAACAGAACCCATCGGTGCTTGTGATGAACTTCAAGAAGATGCTTGGTTACTCTGCTCAGAACCAGAGGCTTGATGATCTGCTCTTTCTCCGACGAGATGTGAGAAGAAAAATATTTCGTGCCTTCACATTTCCTGCGAAAAGAAAAGAAGTTTTAAAACCGATCGTTCTATACCGATCTTCAGATAATTTTATAAGGCTTACATCAGGTAGAGGTAGAAACTAGAAAGTAAAAGAACAAGGCAGAACAAGCAAAATTCCTTTGAATATGATGATTGTATCTGAACAGGGAAAATTCTGTGTTGCTCTGTATTTTAACTAGATTCTAAAACGATTGCATCAAAGCAGAACTCTCAACAATGGAAGAAGAGGGAATCAAACTCTAACCAAGAAACCAACAGGACAGGAATTTTCTTGAACCAAAACGGACTCTGTTTCCTCTGCCACCACCACCAGTTGCATCTGCTATGCTGTCCAATCTCTCAAGCATCTGTTTCTCCGAAAAGATCTTCCCTTGTGAGTTCAAGAACACGGTTCGGCGAACCGGAGGAGACCACAACCCACTCTGTTCATAGTCAAAGTCGAACTGTGACTTATCATAGAACTTTTCCAACAGTCTATCCGACACAGACTTTGGAACCACCTGAACTTGAACCACATGCGGAGATAGTGATGTCTCAGTCTCAGTCTCAGAGGAAGCAGAAGACGAGTTTGCTACCATTTCAGAGATGGAACAACAAAAATAAAAGGAAAAAATAGTGACGATGCAAAAGGGTGCATGGGATATACAGAAAATAGAGGCCGAGAATGATGAAGCGATATTGGAAAAGGAGTGGAAGTATATGCGAATGATGACGAAGGTGGGTCTGGGATATTCGATAAGGACGTGTATGGCTGGCTGACTACAATCATAGATAGGTCGTGAGCACCATGATATGAGATTCTTTACTCATTCCGTCGCCTCTATTTTTTTTTCCTCCCAAACTCCTTTAGTTTATATCTGAAAAAGACGCTTTAATTCACATATAAAAATCATGTTATATCAAATATGAAGCCAAATGTAAACACTATATATATATATAACATGGCAGTACAATACAATGCATCAAATGTGTGATTTTTAATTTGGTGTGAGGCATGAAGTCAAGTGTGGCTTGGCCCCACTTGTTCATGTCATGTCTCACATCTTGAAGCTTTTTCCTATAGCAGATGTAGGAGAGCACAGAACCATGTGTTACAGGGACGTGAGGCTTATCATTTTCTGGTACACCAGTCTGTTCTGCGCATGATATAAAAAAATAAATTATTCATTTCTGTTAAAATAGTACCCTGATCCAATTTGGGTGAATTGTTTAAAACACTTTTGAAGATATGGATGGGATTTTGGTGTATTAATCTGAAATTAATAAGCCACGTGGAACAGATGCTCAGACCAAACTCTTTTGGTTATATCAGTCCACAACATGTCAATTCTTTTCCAGCTCCATCCTGAAAAAGCACTTGATCTTGACAATTTTTTTTCTTCTGAGATAAGGGGAAAAAAATAGATGACAGTAATTTTTCCTGTGACTTCTTTGACTCCCGCTTGTCTATTTTGAAGTTTTGGGGTGAACAGTAATGTGAAAGTGAAGAAACTACCATTTCAAAATTGGTTTTCAATGTGAAAAATTGAAACTTTTTTTTTTTCCTGGGAATGATATTGAAACAGGATGAGCTGGGAATTTAATCATCATTTCACAAAGTGACTTGGGTGGCCATAGTAATGATGCCATGCATCTGCTCGCCATGATTGATGTCTGTGGATGCAAATATGGCTTTTACTAATCTTTCCTGTACAACGATTTTCCGGGAAAGCAAAGGGAGAAAGATAAAGTTAGAAGTTGAAGAGGAATAGGAACAGGAAGTGTGTTTTTCCAAAATGGTAAAAGGAGCAAAAGAGCAGAAAAAGTTGCTGGGGGTTCTGTGAATCTCAAATGGATTCATGTGAGTCAGTGTATTGTGTCTGAGGAAAATCACTTTAGATACACACAATAATGCTGTAATGAATGCCATAAGGTTGTCGCCTACCTGTAATGTCCAGCAAATAACTTTCAAGTTGCGTCCAGAAATTAATTGGGGCTTCAATAATTGCTAATTACTGCTTCTTATTGATGGCGCGATTACCAAAATTTGAAAATTAATAGTATAAAGTTTCTTCATATTTTTTTTGGGAAATCATCATGGCACAAATGTGTATCATATGTGACAATAAAGTAGGTTTAATCAGCAAATAATTAACCGATTATATCTCATAAAAAATTTGAGTTCAAATTCTGTTATTAATGTGAATCCCTAAAACTTCTTCCACGCTCCATGCAAGTAGTTGCAAGATCCATTTTATGATGGGATAAAACCTTATTTTGGTTTGAATATTATGAATTTAATATTTCCAAAAATTGTCTTTTCAATTCTTTTATTAATTAATTTTTTAATGTTACCTTTTCAAACAGTTATTTTTTAAAATTTATTTTCTCTTGTATGAATGTTTAGTAATTATTAATTTGGTTCCTCGCTCACTCGCTTGTAACATTAATAGACAAAACTATCCCTCTCGTTGGGTCCAACTTATAATATTTTAAGTTTCTTAGGCTTTTTCAATCATTTAGTTTTTAAAATATAAAAAAAGAAAAAAGAAAAAACTTGGCCTAATCCGCAATTATTCCTCTTCCTCCCGCAGAACTAAGAATTGGCCTTAATGGATGGGAGCACCACTTTTCTTTCCATAACGGAAACTGCAACCAAAACCCAAAGAAACGTTTGGTAAAAAAAAAAAGAGCCCCATGAATCACAATCAGATTCCCAGCTAAGCAAGTGTGAAACTGCGCGCATTTGAAAGCCCAAAGTCAATTATGAGTTGGGCCGGCCCAAAACTAGTAATGAACCATTTTTGTATCAGGTGACGTACACTTTTTTTTACGCTACAACTCATGCATCCATTATGCTACACCAATATGAACGATCACAAAGCCCTAACTTATTTTAATACTTCATATAAGACCCATTTAACTAATCTGATTAGATTAATAAAGTTTGGTAAGTTAGTTAATTATAAAAAATATGGCACGTTTTTCCTAAAACACTATAATCATCTTTCTTAATACCCCCTCTCCCTTTTCTACTTGATTATAGTTGAGGGAGTATCCATAGGGGTAATTTAGAAAAAATTGATAAATATGAGAAATCAGTCTTATATTTAGGACCAAAACCAACTCAACAATTGGGTCCTATATTAAGGACTGTAGGAGTATATGTTTAAAAATTTAACTTATAGTGTGTGTGTGTGTATGGGACACGTAATCGATTTCTTGTTAAATCATTTTCTCAAAATAAAGTACGAAATTAGATTACCATGTCTTCCAATTGCAGGGGGGGCTTGCGTTGTGAAATGAAAAATGTGGAATATGAATAAACAACGAAAAAGGCTCAAACCCCTAAAAAAGAATATTTGATCGTTTCAAGCAGAAAAACAAAGCCTTGCATTTTCTTCTTTTATATTCGACCCAATGCTATTATTTATCTTAAATATAAAACTAATTTTATAGTGCAAATTTATTTACTAATATTCTTTGCACAAGAAAGCCATTTTCATTTGGTCCAATGCTTTCGTTGCATCAAAAACTATTGAAATGAAAAAAAGTACTAAATTATTTAAATTAAATCTGAATGACTGAGACGTAGATGCTTGGTAGAGGATCCCATTTGATTCCATGAAATCCCTCCATCTGTATCATATATGCGTCTCACTTATTTTGACAGTGGCCACAAATATATAAAATTCTGAAATGGAAATATCGTTACAACGGAGAAAGGGACACGCAGTTTAAAGAAATATACACTCACATTTTCTTATTTCTCCCCTGCCACATTATTAGTTTGCAACATATCGTAGAAGGTATGCTGGCAAATACATACACACACACATATATTATACATACATATATTACCTCCCGTTTTTAATACAAGAGCTTGTTTGACTTTTATTTTAGTTTTAAATATAAAATATTAATCCACTTTGTCTCTTATATTTATTTTTTTTTTGTTCAAGATAGTTTTTATAATAATAATAGTGCTACCCAATACATTTGATTAGTAAAGATATTTTAGGAAAGACAACACTTATTTGTTACAAATAACTAAATTAATTATCTTAATCTCCTCAAATTAGTTAACTAGCTCTTATATTAAAGACATGACATTATATTAGAAGAAAAAAACTGTTCAATCAGTAGTAAATTATTTTTCAAGTAAATAAAAGTTGAATGACAGAATACTCTCTCCCCCTCCCTCTCTATATAAATATATATTCATATATATATTTTTTAAATTTGGACAGTCAGTAGTAACTCTCTTGTTGTCTTTGCTTGATCTGTAAGATTTTTTTTAATGGGGGATTGATTAATTGGTATATGGAGGAGACTTTTAAATACTGCAAGTCGTCGGAGAATAAGAATACTAAATTGATTATGGCTTTTGGTTGGCATCACATAGCCATCATCACACGAAAAGTCAAAGTTTAACGTGGATTTGACTTTTAGGGGGTGATCAGCCGGCCTAGCCCATTTCCCCTCAAATCTCATAAAAACAATAAAAAATATGATGCACTGCAGATCTGATCCACATGAGAAAATTACAAAAATATAAATGAAACTTCATAATCACATTAAACAATCCAGTTAATAAAAAATCGGTTTATAATTCATAAAGTGGAGTTTAAATCTTACTATCGATATGAGAATCTTGTTAGTGACTATTTGTATGCTTGGAGGAATGTCTTGACCCGTTAAGAGACATATTCTGATCATTATGAGTTCCAGACCCAATTCACCTAGATTTTTTTTTTATATATATATATATAAAAAAAGTTATAGTACTGTCCATTCATCAGGCTTTGCGTCACTCGTGACGCCAAACACAAACTTTCACCCTGCTAATTCTGTAATTATGGCAAGCCTTACCTTTTTAGATTTTTTTTTTCCTGCGATAATCTGCTGGCATCCAATGCAACTAATTATTTTGGATGAACTAAACAACATTCAAGTGAGGAACAGAAAAGAAATGATAAACAAGTCCGAATAATGATTAGCAGGATGCAAAAACAAATAATTGGATAGAATAAATATAGGATGTGAATAAATAAATAAAACGTGAAAAATATTGTTAATTTTCTCATATCATCCATGGGAATTTCGTCACTCTCCCGTCTTTATTATTATTATTACTAATTAAAAGCAATTTTTTATATACTTTTATGGTCCTTAATCTAATTTGAGAGCCAATATTGATTCTGTATATAAAACTTATTTCACATGCTTATAATTTTTTAAAAATTAATATTATTGATATTGTCTCAATAATAACAAATAAGAAAGGCAGGGAGAGAATTAAGAAAAACGATTAAAATATTTCAGAAAATATATATTGTATTAACTAATTTAATTAATATATTTGATTTACTTGAAGTATTTAGTTAAGTTATACATTAATAACTGGAGAAGTATAATGCGATGGAAAACATGAACAATAAAGAAATGGCCGTGTAAAAATATTTCTTTTTTAATTTATGATACAAAATTCTTTTTATATATTTATCTCTTACAATATAAAATTACTCAAACTAAGTCAAATCAAGCACGTCCTGAGTTAATGTGCATACTTGTTAGCAGTTTTTTTTTTTTTAATAAGTATTAGTATTCTCTTATTAAAACAATTGTATTAAAGACATTTTATCCTATTGAGTGTCTCATCAACGTGTTGTCCATTATTATTATTTTTTTACTAGGCACGAGTATTTTTTTAATTAGAGATGATCATGTTCAAAAAATTATATGCATGAAATATGAGCATCTCCATTCAAACAATGGTTGGTTTGTCGAGAAATTAGCTTTTTTATGCTAAACCCAGCTCAATTGGTGACGTGTGTATTATGGGCAAACACATTTGTGCGGAGGAGACGGGCGGCAAACTTTGGGATACTTGGACCACTCTTCTCACTTTCACCGCAGAGGAAGTGGATTCTAACGAAATCCAAAATCGAAGACAAAATAGGAGAAATGCCAGCTGTAAATATTAAAAGAAGAAGCAAGGCTCAAGGTGATGCTAATTACACCCGCCGTGGGACGCATCTCCCCCCCTCCACCTCTCTTCTTCTCTTCCACTTGTCCTCTCTTTTCTTTTCTATTTTTCCCTTCCTTCCTCCTACGCTGAATTCACTTCGCCAGCCCAAACATGTTACAAATGGCCAATCCCCATCCTATTCCCCCTCCCCACAATATTAAAACCGAAAAAAGAAAAATCTGAAATTTTTGGTGTCTGGTGGGCACACGATGCCAATATGCCACCAAACCTCTCTTCCTCTGTCCGGCTCCACCCAGAAAACGTGTCAATCAGGAACACTTCTCCCTCTTTAACTTGTGGTCCCACACCACGCCGCCGCCCGCCGTCGCCTCTCTTCCTCTCTTTCCATCCCCACTCGCCGGAACACCAACGAGCACTCCGGCAGCTCTCCCAGGTCCGCGAACAGCGACTCGTCCTCCTCCCTCATCGGCAGCAACATGGAAGCCACGTCTGTGTCTTCCCCTGTCAGAATTGTGCTCTCCAGAACAGCCGACGACGTCGTTGCCGTCCTCTCCATTTCCCCGAACCATCCCAGCTCGTCCCCCGTGCTCATCAATGACCCGTCCCCGAGCTCCACGAACTTCTCCTCATACTCCGGTTCTGGCTCCGCTTCCTGCTCGACCTGGGCCGCGACGGGTTCGGCTGGGGCGATGGCTTTGCTGGAGGCGGATTTGTGGTGGTGGTGATTTCGAGAAGCCGGCCAAGGGTGATTGTGCTCGCAAGAGTAGGTCACGACGATCATGGTCGGGTCCACGCGGCTCCTTTCGACTTGTTTTCTCGCTGGACATCCCTTGGAACTACTGCATCGATAGTATCCTCTGCCCAATCACAAAGGCAAGACAGATTGATTAACTTTTTCCGCCTTTGTCATTTTCTGATTAGCCATTCATATGCTCGAAGACCACCACGAAAACCAAATGAAAACTAATGCTTCGGCCACACTAACTAGATTGTCTCAGAATTAGGGAAAAACAGCGCAAAATTCCTTATTCTGCGAACTAAAAGTGAGATGGATTTTGAGTTGGAGGACCTAATATTGCCATGTCAGCTTCATGATCAAAGTTTGGAAATTTGGTGTGAAAGGAGCGGGAAGTGTACCTGGGGTAAGGGGAACCTTTGATGGGTTTTTGGCCGTACTTTCTCCAAGCCCAAGAATCAGACGGCGGAGTATTGCTCTCTCCTTTAAGCCGAGACCCTTCTGCTTCCTTGATTGGGATTTGCACTACCCGCTTCTGTATGGCTCGCCTGCTAAAACCATATGTCCCATTTACGTTTAGTGTCACATCTTCACATATACATCTCTCTCAGTTCGCCTACAACTAGCCGGTCTCAACTCTCAAAAACAAGTGAAAAACATGGCTGGTTTGATTTCGTGTGCCGTGACTTCTAAAATATCAACTTTTCAGAAAACATAATTCAACATCGGGTATGCAAAATGATCAATTATCTGTCCACTCGCAGAGTGTAGTAAGACTAACCTTCTTTTGGGGGAAGACGTAGAAGCGACGAAGCTATCGATATTAAAGACAGCGGAAGGAGGGGATTCTGCACTGTTTTCTTGAGCTATATCAGTGTCATCTTGTTCACTGATATTCCGGTTGCTGTTGTTGAACCTACTGTCCATTTCTGGAAACAATTCTTCAAGCTCTCGATCCCGCTACAAAGCACTGTGAGATGATATATATATGTGATGGAGAAGGCGGGTATGGCTAGCTAGAGAATGGAAAAGGGATTAGCACAGTGAAGAAGACAAGGGAGGAGGTAAGAGAAATAGGGAATGCCCTTTAAAACAGGGGGTTTCACGTTGGACAGATTGGCTGGTTAAGCTCTGATCTGGCCTTTGTTTATTAGAGGACGTGCGTGCAAATACCTCATCCTATGGAACTCACGCAAATTTATATATATATATATTTATATATAATATAGATGTGAATTATGTCATTGGAAAGCAACCTTAAGGTTGCTTCAGCCGTTATTATATTTGAAATTTCCATGAGGATAAGCCCCATTTGATTAGTTTAAGTCTGACACTCTTGTCATATCTGGGGGGGGTGCTCTGCCAATCACAATTTACCCAACTTGGTCATCTTTTTGTACATTTCTCTTGCTTTTTAACCTCAATATATAGTTTTATCTGCTTATTAATAAAAATGGTGCATCTAGAAGGCTTGAAAGTTTCATCCATGGCCTATCTTGTCATTAACGTAGTTGTCATCACTCTTGGTGGGGTTAGAGTTACCTTTTTGCCCTGAATTATTGATGTACCATTAGGGTTTGACAATTTTGATTAAGATATTTCATTCATCATTTCGCTATTAATTTGTGTCGTGCCAGGGAAACCTAAAAACAACTGTAGAAACAGAAACTGGGAGAAGAAAGACAAAGACAGATCCGCCCTTACTTTGTCCAACTTGGAATTCCCCCTCGGCTACTAGTCCATCCTTGAAGCAGATATGAATTTCTTTCTTTCTTTCTTACGCTAAATATTCCCTATTTGCCTTCATTATTGTGTCGATTTTTTTTTTTAAAAATGTTCCGCCCATAAAATCTAGTCAAATTTAAAGATTTATTGAATTTAAATTAATGATATTATTTCAGAAAAGTAACATGCATTGGTGCAGGGAGTCCAAGCACAACTTTGCTTGCAAAGAAGAACAATTGTATAAAAAAGTGGGAGAAGAAAATAATAAGGAGGATGAGATTTCACTCTTCGATAAAGAAGGCATCATTAATTAATTAATTAATCTAATTTCATTCACATGCTTATCTCTTTATTTAACTGTATTCTAACTTGATATCATCTGCTCCACCATCGTCGTTATCTATCCTGAACCCTAACTTATCCCCTCCTTCCCAGTTTCCTTCTTTCTGATACTTTCAGACAGATTATTAATGTTTGATTTGATGATTTCTATGTTTATTTGTCCGCAGCTCCTCTTTTTATTTCTCTTTATTACTTAAGTAATATTCTCATCACCATTTTTTCGTTGTTGATATGATGATCAGGATTTTTTTTTTTTTTCATTTGCCTTGACAACATTCAATGATGTTCTAAATTTATATTATCTGATTTAATAGTTATAAGATGCTTATGTAAAACACACACACACACACAAAATGTGAATGCTCGTATATATGTATGTTTTATTTTAGTTCTTAGCAAATCAATTTCCAGAACAGTATCCCACGCAATTTATATAGTATATATATGTATAAAATACAAAAATTATTTATATATCATTTTGGTTATATATAAGATGTAATTAATGTGACCCGTTTATGTATAAACCCGATGTAATTACTTAGCAAAAACAAACATAAAAACTGATCTTATTTGGCTAAAATATGTATTAATGTCAATTTCGGTTTTAGTCAAGTTTTGTTTACATAAATAATAGAAATGTGGACCCTCCCTCCCTTTCCTACGCGCTCAACTTATATACATGTTTCTTCATTTTCGGGGGCAGCACCATATATATTCGGTAGTTACATATAAATGTAATTGCCACTTAAAAAGAAATAATATTCTGACTTAAGATCCACCCTATTACGAGTATGACTAATTATATTATATGAGAATTAAAAAAATAAAAACACAAATAAAAAAAGAAGACTTACTGTGCAATGCAACGGTCACCACCTCAGACTGATTAATTTATAATTAAATTATATATGAATAATATCATGATCTCGTTTGTTTAATATCTAAAATTCTAGAGAGAGGATAGCTATGGAAAATTTTATACTATACAAATTTGTCATGATGCTTGCCTTGGAGATTCAAATCCCATTTGTTTTTTTTTGAACGAGTCACTAGTTTCAATATATATTGGTTTAATTTTCCTCTCGAACCAGATCGTATTCATCCCTCTACCCAAATATAAAATGGAGAGGGGTTAATCTTGAATTTGAAAGCCTGAATAAGATAATATATTTTGTGTAAATTTTCAAAGAAATTAACTTCGAAATTTCGGAATACTTAATTTGTTTAATACGATCTGAGTTAGGTCAATATAATAATCTAATAAGAAACCAGTATTTTTTTCCTAGGGTTTCCAAATGCGTGAAGCAACGTAAAAACTATGTGTTTATGTTTTTTTTAAAAAAAAAAAATTTCGATTGTTATTGAGTACTATTGATTCAAATTGGAATATTCCCTGCTCAGTTGAAAGTATAATGTGATTTTTTCATTATAACATTTAAACTCATAATGTTATTTAAAAAGCATTAGGCCCCTTTTATTCAATACAGAATCATGCATTACCCCCTCTTGCATTTGCATTTATTATGAGTAATTTGGCATATTTCATAATTAACATGTTTTCTTTAAAATATTAATTTGTTTTACTTAATATCCCTAATTAATTATAAAACCCCCCAACTAATTAACTAAACTTTTCTAACTAATAAATGTTATTGAAGATAATTTTGATATTTTATGAGAAAGAACTATAATTTTCACGAGTTTTATTAATTTATATAAAATTATTATTAGTTGTTTATAATAGGGATTGGATGATTTCTTCTTTGATGATCTCCGGCCAGAAGATTTTATATTCCCAAATTGATGAATCCCTTGGCTTACGGCATTTTTGGTGCACTGCTTCTTATTCTCCTGCCTTAATTATTGCTATTCAACTGTAACCTACTTTAATTTTTTATTCAGACCTAACAAAGCAAGTTGGTAGCAGAAGAAAAATATTATCATCGTTGGCAGCAAAAAAAAAAAAAAAGAAAAAGAAAATATTGTCATCATTATTGCCCCTATCATATTAATATTTCGCACCAATCAACTATTCTCTATGGATATTAGTACGAGTTATAGACTTATAGCACACTATTCTTAGCATCGTTTTTAAATAAAATAAATGCAAGAAAAATATGATATATGAATGAATTTCAAGTGAACAAATACATGTGTATATATAATGAAATTAGTGAAAAATATTACCATCTTCTGTTCTTAATATTAGAGTTAGCTGTAAATTCAATTTGGTCATAAATATACTTCAATTTATTTTGTTTATCATATTTATCTATTCTGTCTTCAAGTAATCTCTATGATAATTGTACAATGTAAAGAGTTTTCATTAAAGGATAGTTCTAATTTATATGATTAATAAGAATATTTTAAAAGACACAATATTCATTTACTACAAATAACTAATTTAACTAATATTTTTAATATCTATAAATTATTTATCTAACTTTTATATTTAGGAGGAAGTGGTATTCTGCATAATCATCTGTCCTCTAATAATAAATTAAATTTGCGTAATTTTAATATGTAAAATCTACGTGATTAAATTAAAACCAATCTTTTTTTCTTTGACGAAAGGTAAAACCAATCTATCTTTCAATATAAAAGTAAAAAGTAAAAAATATGAAAAATTATACTTTCTTATAGCAATAACAAATTAATATCAAAAGGATTATCCTTCATCAAACTCTGAGAATACTCGAATCTAACATAACAGTATTTCTCTTTTTTTTTGGGGGGGGGGGGACCTAACATTACAGTATTGGATATATACCATACCATAAATACACATACACGTATAGTAGTAGTAATAATAACAACAAGAATAATAATAATAATTAATCTTTTAAAATTTACACGATCGATCTCAGATTTTATTTTGGAAAGACATGCAGTCAGTGAATGTAAAGGGTTCACAAAAGGTGGCTGCCTCACTTTGAAGAAACAGGCTTCCCTGTTCACATCTATATATTTAATTATGGCCAAATCAATCAACACACACAAACTTTTTCCGCACGACAGCTTTAATAGATGAAGGAAATTTAAAATTAATAGTAGTAATTAATTGTGGGCTAAGCATGATGTCGTACTACACTACCAAAATTAAGCAGTCTTAAAATGAGAGGGTGATGAGAATAATAATAATAATATTGGCAATTTTTGATGAAACATGATCGTCAGATATATATATATATATATATATATATACTGTAATTAAAGAAGACAGGCAATGGAATCTCATCTTTTGGTTGGCTTACAAAACTAAACTGTGTTTTGTGATCCCAGCGGCGCCATTGTCAACGTTATCCAGCTAATGGAATTTAATTCACAGCGTGTCCTCCAGATTCGTGAAACCTGGACGTAATTCCCGTTACCCTTGAACCAACTTCCACTGTTTCACATGAGTTATGAGCAAATCATCAAATTTGAATATTTGTCCCATGGCGGAGCATTTTCATGAGTTCTATTCTTATCGCACAGCATTCTGATCGCTTGCATATACCTACAACCAGATTCTGCTCTGTTAAAACTTTTCCCTTTATTGAAACGGAATTGTAAATGGAATTGGCCATGGATATAACATTTGACGGGTTTAAAGTTTGAATACGAACTGATTACAGAGTATCTAGATAGAAACCAAACCACAATTTTAAAAGTGATTTTATAGTATACAAAATAAATACGTGAAGGAATTTGCCTTAATTTATTAAAAAAATATTTTTTTAAATGCTTTTTATGCCATCCAAATATCCTAATAGTCTGATAGCATCAAGTTTTATTACAAGTGGGTGTTCTTTTCCGTACTACATTAAATCATTAGGGCTTTTCCCATTGGTTTAAAAAAGTCGGGACCAGGCGAGGGGACCACGTGCATGCACCTTTACCACCAAATGAACACATGCAACTTTGCCCCTATTATTGCTCTCTTTCATATATATAAATATATATATATATATTTATATCTGTTTATGTTTATATGTATGTACATCAAATGGTGCACATCTTGATTCCTTGGTATAGAATAAGGGGTCAGTATGATGACAAAATGGAAGAAACTCTTTGATTATTTTTTGTGGGGGTCCCACGTTATGATTGATTTCCTCTCGTAATTCTTCATCGATTCCATCCCATCCAAAGCAACATATTTGTTGGGCAGGTTTTAGTTTCATGTAGAGAACCATTATTAAAATGGTTTTAATTTCAATATGAAATTAAACCATTCTTATAATCCTTCTTTTCCCTTAAATTTCGAGGGTGAAAGATATTTTGGTCCCTTATATGAAAGTTATAAATATTTTAGTATTTTAGTCCCTATTTGTGTAAAAAAAAGAAAAAAAAGAAAAGTCGTTAACATATTGCTCATAAATCTGAAAAAACATCATGTGTTCAAGGGATCAAAGAGTCAATAATTCCTTAACAAGATCCTGGTTAATGGCTCAATTTTTCATCAGACATAATTAAAGAGTAGGCTCAGATTTGCAGACTTGCAGGATGGTAATATTCACACTACTTTGGAATTTGGACGATGATGATTCCCTTCTTTTTTAAAGTGATCTTCTCCCAACGAGGATTTCTGTATACACTGAGACTCGAACTCGAGACTTCACTTAAGCGGTACCAAGCCGCTTACCACTTGAACCAACCCCTGTTGATTATTTTTTAAAGTGATCTTTGTTTATGTCACAGGAAAAATAATGATTTTTTTTTTGAAGTACGGATGGCCCACGCAAAGTCTATACCGTCTTGGCTGGAGACTCATTGGGCCTCATTCTGCTTTTTTAATTTACTTTAGAGACCGAAAAAGGTTCCACTGGCCTTTCAGCTTCTTTAGGGGATGTTTGGTTCGGCCACCACCGTGAAAGGCGTTCTGCCGCCAAATAATGCATGTGATATTTATTATATTTTTGTCCTTATTATTCGATAGTGGGCATTATTCGTATTCTCTATTCGTAGATAATACTACCTCTTGTCTCTTAATATAACATCTTATTTAATTTTTATTTTGATCCTAAATATAAGACCCTAATTCACTTTATCTCTAATATTTATGTATTTTTTTTCAAGATAATCTTTCTAATAATAATAGTTCTAGCTAATACATTTGATTAGTAAAAATATTTTAGGAAAGACAACACCTATTTATGACAAATAACTAACTCAACTTCTTTTCTTAATCTTTTTAAATTAGTCAACTAGCTCTTTTAATTAGGACAGAAAGTAGTATAAATATATTTTTTTCATCAATTTCGTGCTTATTTTAAAAAAAAATTATTAATACAGTTCTTATTCATTCCATGGTTTGTTTGACTTTGGCAAAACCAAAACCTAGGTTTCAGAATCACTTTTCCGCAAAACAAGATAACCTCCTCTACATATTTACTTCGTAATCCGTAAAAGCACTTTTGAAACCATGGTTTGGTTTCTATCCAAACATCCCCTTCGTGTTGTGTTGGGAAACTGGGAATTCCAGGCCTTTTTTTTGGGTTAAATTTTTATTTTATTGGCCTTCGTAAAAACATTCCATGGAAAACATGACAAGCAAGTACACATTCAACTGAATCTTGTCAACCAACGGACACATGAATATTCATATTTTTTTTTTAGTTTTTGGTGGTACTTTTAGTTTTTGGAATATTCATATTTTAATAACAATAAGGAACCTTTTTTCTTTTTAACTTTTAAAAATTGAATTAATATGATAAAGTTTTTTTAAGGTTAATACACATCTTAGTCCTTTAAATTTACTTTCATTTTAATTTTAATCTCTCAAATTTTAAATCATAGATTTTAGTCCTTTAAATTTATTTTATTTATAATATTAGTCCTTATAATCTAATAAAAACTTAAAACATTTTGCTCATTGAGAAACTAAAACCTATGATTTAAAATTCGAGGGGCTAAAATCAAAATGAGGACAAATTTAAAGGATTAAAAATTTTATTAACCCCTAAAAACAGGACATTTTATAACTCTCTTTGCTTTACCATGGAAGACCTTCACAAACGAAGGTTGAATATCCAAACAACTAAGAGGGACAAAAATGATATTTTGTTCAAGTTCTAATATTTCATCAATTGCAGAAAATATAAATATTTTCATTAACGGTTCAAAATATTATCATCTTGCCTTTTCAGAAATAAAAAATTACATTTATACTATTTTAAAATCTACAGATCATGTTCATCAATGACAAGAATGAACATGCCATTGATATGCATATTGAACAAGGGGACAAAACACTGTTAGAGGAAAGATTTTTCCTTCATGTTTTCACTTTTACTGATTTTCCCAAGGGGCAAGGCATGGAGAATCCTTCAACCATCAAGTTCGAAGGGCAGAGGGATTGCTTACTTCATGGTGTAATATAGAAGAGGAACTGGAAATTGGTATTAACTAGTCTCGGATGCATCAACATGTTGAACAAATACAGTACATTGTGATGGTAGATTCTAACTACAAGTCTTCTGAACCTTTCACTACTAATTTTCGCCGCTCTGCTTTCCAATAGCTCCAAGAAGGACTTCAGCAATATTTCTGGTGTCCAGAGCTTGGTCTTCTGCTACAACAATGGCTTCCATGGAAAAACCGTCATTGCACGAAACTCTGGCTTGCTCCACATTCAGGCCTTTCTCCTCAAAGGCCTCTAAGATGGCGACCAGCTTGTCTCCTCCTTTCTCGCAAGTTACCTTCGCCGCAAAGGTTCCTTCTGCTACCTTCTCTACTTTCACATTCTGTTCATTTTCACGAAAAGTTGAAAACACAGTTAGACATATTGTGATTTGTGAGGCGCTCATTTCTATGTGCGCCATGTGTTTGATATTTATCTCTGAGGGAAAAAAAGAGGGTAGGGAGATGAATAGTGAATAAACCTTGTGCTGTTGAACATGCTTCAGAAGGTTTTGATATTCTCTTCTTGCTGCTATGAGGTTGGCATACTCTCTTTTGATTGTTTCCAACATGACTTTTAGCCTGTATATTTGCAGAACGGTGCTTTTGGCAATGAGGCTTCGCTTGGCCTTCAAAACGTATTAGTGATAAAAAGTTTAGTAATACATCAAGAGACTTAAACGCTGATAAAATGTAAAAGAAGTTATGACTTTACAGAATTGGAGTTGATACGAGTTCGCAGAATGTGTAGTTTTCTGCGCAGTGACACCCTTTTCTGCTTCCTGCAACCCATCTCCTCTGTCTTAGCTCTGCCTTTCTACCTCTGCTTCTCTTGTGAATATTGTATGAGGGAGGGTACAAAACTCTGCTGAGCTTTTTATGGTGGGCGAGTTGAGCCTTGGGTAACTCGTAGGACATGGGTTGCCACAAAAAAATATCACTATCTTTTTATTTTATTTTTTTGGTGGGGTTAATATATCCACTATCTTTTGTCTTATATGAAAATTGCTAGTGGGAAACAAAATTGAAAATACTGTCAGATTTTTTTATTTGCGTGTTTAGTGATATCATCTTTTCTGATGATCAAGATATGCTCAAAATAACTTATTTTCTTTACGCAAATGCTGCGAATCTCATCCCATTTAATTTATGTATTTGGTCTTATTTAAGGCATGATATTCACATCAAAACTTAACAAATTGACCAAAATAATTTTCCCCGCAAACATGTTTGTGTGCGGGTTAGTTTTAGTTCTCGGTGGCAACAAGTTAAAAAAAAAAAAAAGGATTAGTTTTAGTTCTCATTGATGTACTACTTGAAGTTGAAATGTAGCGCATTACCATCAATACAGGAAGGCATTGGTACCACCCCGTGATCTAATAATGATAAAATAGAGAAAGGAAAAAGCATCCTAACATTTGTTTTAAGTTCAATTTGAATCACAATTTTCCAAGTTACAGACAGTGGTTTCAGGTCTATTATCTCAAGTCAACATGAAGGGTTGTCATTGTTTGATTTCAAATGACTTCCCTTTTTAGAACCTAGTAATTCAAATAAGAGGAGGTGTGAAGCGGACTATGCATCTGAATAAGGTAAAAGTAGAATTTGTTAAAAGAAGCCAAAAGGGATTGGGTGGGTAGAAGAATCACAGGAGGCAAACAGGGATGAGGCATGGGATAATTTGAAAGAGAAGGAAAAAGATGGATGATATGGTTGTCATATTCATCATGAGACTGTTAAAAACTTAAAACTTGTGCATGGGAAAGGATGTGGGAAGTGAACCAGTGGGCAATAGGAAAGGATGGTCTCAATCAGAAGAAATATTATCAGTGACTGCCAATGAGACATATACGTACTGTACAAGCACATCAGTCTCTTCCCTCTTCACGGGACTCTGTTTCACTTTTTCGTTTCGTTTTGCTTTGTCTGCCTCTCCCATGCCCTAAAACCTTCACTAGCTAGTGGCCATAGCTGTGTCACATGCTCTGACACCACCACTGTTTTATTCTCTATCTTTCCTTTTCAACTTATGGACTATCTGATTCCCCTGGCTCCACCCTACTTCAATCAATTCCTAAAGTAATATTAATTATTGGAACCCCACTTAATCACATTCAATACATTTTTTAAATTCTGTCTTGTTTAAGGCACCTTTTCCTACTCATGAGCTCAATAATTACACAATATTACTGTAATTAATATTGTTGTTGCAACTAAACTGATCGGATATTGATTCATAAGCAATGTGTTGAATAGTTCAGTGAAAGTGGGTTCCTAATTATCGAAACTAAAGCAGTGATATTGGAGTATCCCCGAACTTTGTCATCGTTGCTATTTTTTATATTTAAAAATATGAATATTTCATCCATAAAAGTTCATGATCTTCTGTTATATTATTATGTTTTAAATTGAAATTAGATGAAGCCTTAGTTTAACTGAAGCATCAAACATCAAGCTATAATATTGAGATGAGCTTTAATTTACTGGTATTGTTTAATTCCTGAAATTGTTGATGTTGGAATAGTTGTTGGGAACGATTTGGATTAGTTAATGAACGCTCTCTTAATAATTAAGGACTGACACTGTTGATCTTTGTTTGACATATGTGGATAGATAAGAGGTGGGACTTGAGAAGTATATAAACACACACATATATAGTTAATAGTTATTTGTGAATGGAGGCCAACGTACTTAGAATAAAAGTGGTGGGGTTCATTCGATTGAGCAAGAAAGTGACAAGCATATAGCCCATTGCCTGCAAAAAAGGCAATGAAAAAGATTTGTCTGTTTTCAATTATCTCATTCTTAGGGGCAGACATGAATACAAGAATGCATAGAGAAATTTTGGAATTGAGCAGTTGCCTGTCTCCTTAAATTGCTCTTATTAGCTTTGTTTTGTTGTACGCCCTAACCTCTCTTTCTAAGGGCCTAGCTATGCATCACAGCTTCACCTTTCTCATGTATCAACGTTAGAGAGCTCGCTTTCCTATCGGCTTTTGTTGTCCGTATGTGCTTGACACATCTCTCTCTTAATTGGAAAAAGGAACCATTGGCTTTGTAGCTATTCACTGCCTACTTGCCGAAAGCTCCTTGCTTTTCTTCTGCTTCTCCCCCACCATCCACATTGACAATCACATGAACACACTGAGTCACCCAAATTTTTCTTCAAATCATAGCATTCCATATGGCTTACATGGGTTCGAGCTTCAAGTGGGATTGTGGGAATCAAAAAGAGGGAACGAGTAGCGTGTAAGAGAGTGAGTGCTGTTGAAAATGCTTAGGAGTTTTGATAAACCGTATTAACATTCGGGGATAGCTTTAGTCGCTCTGAACTTATTTGGATTAACATTTACAAAAATTTACATTTTGCAAGTTGAAATTTAGATAAAAGCCAGTTTGATAAACTAAAATTTGTTTGGGTGATTTAAGTCAAAATCTGGTTTAAATGTATAATGACAGAAAAGACTGAGTTTTATGGTATGTGTGTGTGTGTGTTTGGGTAATTTGATATTTTAAAGAAAAATATTTTATGATATGTATCACAGTTTGTGCCAATTAAATGACATCCCAAATAAGGACTTAGTTTCATCAGTATGGATATAATACAGTGCACAAAAACGGTGTTCACAATAGAATTAATTGAGTTGCAAACAAGACTTTGAGAATATGGTGGGGGTCATTAGCATCTTGCAGGCCCATGAGTTGTCAGACGAGAGCCATGCCCATAGAGGCACTTTCAGTGATGTATCTGAAGACAGAATCAGCAAGACTGGCATCCACTAGATGGGACCTTTTTTTTTTTATATATATAAGAATTGATTAATTTTACTTCATCATGCTCACAAAAGAAATAAGATTGTCAGATTATGACTCCTTCTCCATTAATAGTGTGATCTGATAATGCCTATTTAAGAAATTAATCCTTGTTCTGTTGCATGGAAGGTTGGCAGATTGAGTCAAATGAAAACTGCTGCTTGAAGAAATTTAGTTTTACAGCTTTCAAGACAAGCCTTAGTTAGTAGCAAAAGAGGGAGATATATAGAACTTGCAGGTTCCAATACGAAGGACTCAATCCATTGTTTATACTTTATCATGTGAGAATGTAAACGTATGAAAGATGGTAAACAATCGTTGGAAGCACTAAGAAAGAGACAGGTTTGACAGATAAGAATGCGAGAGTAGGGGATATATAGGGTTTAGCGTTATTCTATCAAGTTTCAATTGTGATGGAAATGACACTATGAAAACAGGCGAGGGCAGTGGCAGCCTGGTAGCTACTGCATTAGAGCAATGCCAAATTTCTTCTGGATCCCTAGCCTTTAATTTCTGTCTTTTCCAGGTCCTATGTCATCCCTTCACCAGAGTCAAGAACACCAAAAAAGGAAAAATGAAACAAACAGACAAAGGAAGCAGGAAAAAATGCAGACTATAGCCACTTTGGTGTTTACACATGGCAAGTTGGTAGCAGATTAGAAAAAGTTAGAGAGCCTTGAGGCTAATAATTGCATTGCTACAATAATATTACTGGCAGCTGCCAAACCTGATCACGAATGTGTACGTAAGCATTGCAAATCAAACATGATGGAAAATTTAAAGTAAGGCATGTAAATTTTATGCAGAAAGAGCACAAGTATGTTAATGTGAAGGCGTGGAATTTCCGGAAAAGACATTACAGGATAGGCCTCCCTTCGGAAATAGAGCTATTATGGTTCTTTCTTTGACTCGGGCCATTCTAAAAGATGTTTATCCTGCGATTATACTGTAAACTTTGCAAGTGTTTTCATCAATGGATTCTAAAATGATGAATTATATTGTTTGTAGAAAATATGTATGCATCGTCTAAAGAATACAATCAAGAACATCATTGGAACAACAACCGTACCTACAGAAACACACACAGATGCTCATCTGATCACAGAAAGCTAGGGAAGTAGATGCTTCAACATTAGAGTTTCTTTAGCCTACTTTGCCTCTTAAAGAATGATAATGACTTAATGAGAAAGCTATTGAAGAGAAATATTAATTATATCCCACTATTTTCCTATTGTAGTTAGATTGTCACAAGAGACAACTGAATATAGAAAAGGTTTGGAAGTTAGAGCCTCCATTGATCAAATAGGCTTGTGTGTACCCCAACCTATCACAGAACACACACAAAACGAAACGAGACTTGATACTGTTTTAGACTCTTGATGAAAACAAGACTAATCGCCTAATTATTTTCATTAATTAATCGATATTAATCCAAAAAATTATAAAATTTAATCTAAAATTGTTATGTTTTATATTTTAGTTTATTGATTTGATCTTTACTGATGGTATAATTCATGGTGTGTTTTGCACTGGAAATCTGGAATGGAGTTTCAAGTTTTATCTTAATAAAATATATAAAAATAAAGTTACTTGCAATTTTTTTTTCTTTATAAAGATCAAAGATATTCGAGATTTAAATTATAAATAAAAGCGCATCTTCTCGTGGGGGTCAAACTTAGGAGTATTTTTGTGCAAATTCAAAAGTCGGTGGTCAGAATTCTTTAAATTTTTTAATGATGAACAAATGTGTATTATTCTTAACATAAGAGTTAATTTGACATTCAATTTGATCTTAAATATAAGACTTCAATATACTTTATCTCTCATATTTATTTATTTTTTTCAAAATAGTTCTTGTAGTAGTTGCATATATTAAATATTTCATCAAATAATAGTTTTAGCTAATACACATGATTAACAAAGGTTTTTTTAGAGAAGACAATACCTACTTATTACAAATAATTAACTTAACTAGTTTTCTTAATCTATTCAAATTAGTTAACTAACTCTTATGTTAAG